GAGGAATTGTCAACTCATTTAGCTATCGATTAATCGCTAAAAGGAGTATACAGACTCAAAAAAGGTAATTTTGCTGAAAGGAGAATATATTCAGAGCAGTAATTAAGCCAAAACTATACAAAAATACATATTGCAAGATAATAAAAATACTTTGTAAATTAAGTGGCTTAGATTTAGCTTCACCTGGTTCAAATTCTGTAAGAACAAAAAATCTCCTGTTAAGCAGCTTTTGCTTTCCAAATATTAATTGGTTCATCAAAAATATTAACAAATTAGTTACAAACTGTATTGATGTTAAATTGAGCAGAAAAGGCAGAGATTTTTTTCACATGTTTCTGTTAGAAGTATATTTTTAGCTGCAGAATAGCTATGTATTGTTTGATTATATAAATAATCGCAGCATGCAGCCCTAATGTTGTGCATTAATATGACGTGTGATAGAAGTTATTTGTTGTTTTTTTTACCAGATGGGAAAGTCTGACTCAACTTCACAGCGTTTCAGAAGAAAAACCAAAGCTTCAGGGAGTTCTGAGCAAATAACCAACCCGCTTATCTCGCCCTCTGATGGTTCTGATAACTTGCTGTATAAAAACCTGCTGGACTCACCAGACCTGGACGTCTCGCCGCCTGAACAGACCCCGGGCCTCGCTGCTCCGAATGGCTCCTGTGATGCAGAAGAAGAGTCGAGTGACACAGACCTGAAGGAAATCGAAACTCCTCCCATCAGAGATGAGCGCGTGACGGCTGAAGCTTCTCCAGACGACGACCCGGACGGATCCAAAGACCCGAGTCTCACCTCGCATCTTCCCGCTGAGCTTTCTGCTCTTTCTCACTCTGACATCACTCCTCTGTTCTCCAAACAAAACCTGGATGTCTCGGCCTGCCATGTCCAGAAAGAAGACTCAGTCGTTCTTGTTGTCTTTATTTCCAACTGCTCAGACTCTTTCCTTCAGCAGATACGACTTCAGGTCGACTCTGAAGAACTAGAGGTGCATCATGCAACCGAAAACCTTAAAATATCTTCTTTCTGTGGATCTTTTTGAAATATAATCTCATGTTCTTGTTTTGAAGGTATCCTGTGTGTCTGATTGTCCATCAGAGGAGTCAAAAAGCCACAGTGTAGCAGTTTGTCAGTATTTCCTAACAGTAAAGAGACCCTCTGTCCACTTTGATCTGTCTGTGACGGTGTCATGGGCGCCGCCTGCTGGGTCGCCCCGGAAGGCGCAGGTCTCCTACAGACTTCCTCTGACGACCTTCATCAGGTGAGATAGTTTTGGGATTTTCTTGCATTCGTCAGGAGGTTGTTTAAATTAATCAGGGCTGAAACGATTAATCGGATTAATCTTGAATCAATTTATTATTGAAATAGTCGTCAAATTATTTGGTAATCGATTGATCATTAACCTGCGTAAACAGACCATTTTCTGGAAGAAAAGCACAATCACTGTAATAATTTTTTAAAAATTTATATATATATATATATATATATATATATATATATATATATATATATATATATATATATATATATATATATATATATATAAAATTCTCAGTAAATATGTTCTATCCAGAACTTTTCTAGTGCTAGTTTTAGCTTTCACTGGCTCAAATTTTGTAAGTAAAAATGTCCTTCTAAAAACCCTTTGCTATCCAATTATTAATTAGTTTATGCTAATAACAGCTTTTCACATGTTGATTGTAAAACTATATTTTTAGCTGAAGATACATTCTTTGCTACAAGAGGTTAAGCGTTCACTAATAGAATTATGTCATTGGATTTTAGTTAATAAATCGCATTTCTTATTATTTAAAAATGAATTGAATTATCTGTTTGCATTTTAATGCATGATATGCAACAACATCGGAATCGGCCGATATTAGTCATTTTTTAACATGTTGGTATCGGCCCATTAAATAAAACTGAACCAACATTTATTTTTATCTGTTTATGGTTGGCTCTTTTCCAAAGGTGTCAAAACCGTAGAGAAATATATATAATGTTTGTAAATATCGACTGTCAGCCATAACTGCAATATCAGGCCAAAGTTTTGTATTTGTGCATCCCTAATTGCTAATATGGTATAAAAGTGAAAAATCTGCAGAGTGCGCCAGTTTTTTTAAAATCTGAATAATCAATGACTTAAATAATTGTTAGCTGGAGCCTTAAAATGTGTCGATTGTTTCGTGCAGAGCTTTGAGGCTTTCCACAGAGGAGTATGGAGCCATGTGGCTGGCCTTCTCTCATGACACCAAGCAGAACCTGACGCTGATCCAAGACGGCCCGGATCCCCTCGCTGCCACTCTGGATGTGCTGAAGAGGAAACTTCAGCTTCACGTGGTGGAAGTTATGGGTAAACTCAGAAAAAGTAACAAATAATGAGCAGCTTCTTTCACTTGTTGGAGCAAAATATGTTAATTTAGAAGCTATTTCCAGGCTGCAGTAGGCAGAGTATTTTACAAATATATATATTTTTGTCGTTATTTTGTTTTTGTTTTTATTTAACCAGGTGTATTTCATTAATATTAGAAATCTCCTTTTCAAGCGACACCTGGCAGCAGCACAGCAAATCATAAAACTTACAGATATTAAAATGCAATTAATAAGGATAATAAAGAAAGAATAATCACAAAGCGCAAATGCATCCATAAAAGTAAAAATTGTAAAAATTGCTATTAATCAATGCATTTAGAAAGAAAAACCTCATTTACAAATTGATTTAGAGTGGCCTTAATTGCATTTAAAAAGTCTTTAAATTACATAAGTTTTCTATTTGGAAAAATTTTATTTTATAAATATCAGATTTTGAACATGTTTTTTTATCAGAATTATATATTTATGATTTTTAAGTATTTTCTTTCAGTCATGTCTAGCCATTATTTGATTTTAAGATGTCTATAATTTATTTTCCACTAGTCAAAACTACATTTCTCCTCTCCAAAAATACATTTAAGATATCTTGAATTACGGACTCATTAGATATTTTTAATTAGGATTATGACTAGTCAAAACTTAAATCAAGATATGTTGAATTTACTTTTTGACTCGTCATAATTTAATTGTAGATATCTGAAATGTGTATTTCAGGTAATCAGCAATTCATTGTAGATATCTTGAATTAAAGTCTCCATTCAAGTCAATGGTAAATTTGATGTAATTTTGACTAGTCAGGATATAATTAGAGACATCTCTAAAAATTACCTCTAATTATTAGAGGTGGCAAAACCGAATTTATGTTAAAACAGCTTGCTATAGAACTGGATATTCCTGAATTTTTTTTTTTTTTTGTCTGTCTGCCATATTGGATTTTACAAAAATCTTCTTGCACTTGCAGTGGATGACCAGTAGTTGGCAGTGTATTGTACGATGCACTAATGTCGACTTTAGTGGACTGTGTGGATTTATAGCATAAAAATCCACAAAAAGACAACAAAAAACACAAGAAAATGGCTTTTAGGTAGCTGCCCACTGCATTTTTGTTCTTTTTCTAGCAGAAAACTGCTTGGTTTTACAAGTGTCAATCATGTAAGTATGATTGAACAACAGAACAGTGTAAAATATGCTTTGATGAAAATAATTGTCAGCATATATCACTCAGAATGAAGCACATACTTTACTCAGTGTCTTTACTGACACCTGATGAGTGAATTTTCCGTTTGTCCCCTCAGGCGTGGAAGCGATCGTGGCTTGCTGCCTGCAGCGGGATCAGCCGTGTCTCATGCACTGTCGCATGCATGCCGGCATGCTGGCTGTGTGGCTGCGCTCTCCAGTCCCCGACCTGCCGGACTGTCTCCTCTACTGCTGTCAGAGAGCTCTGCAGGAGCTCTGAGGGCCTGGGCTGGCAGCACCAGAACCACTCAGAACCCCAAAGCGCTGAACACAGAGATCCACAGATCTGCAGGACACTCCAGCACCAGCTGCTGCTTTGATTTCATGTATTTACTAACCGTTGTTGTTGTATTTAATTTGTTCACAAATGATTTAAAATTATGGAGAGTCATGGCAGGTAACAAGCTCAGGGCCTCAGGGCGTTTTGAATGACGCTATTGTCTTAAAACTATTAAAGTATTGTGATAACCGTTTGAGTAAATCTATGAAACTATTCACTAAATGTATTAGTAATAAGTATAAAAACCCTAAGCTTTTAAAATTGGCTTAATTTTTGTGTCTAAAATAGTCATGACCGTAAAAACTCCACAATGGCTGAGCAATAAATGTAGTTTAATTTTTAGATACACTACAGAGAAGATATATGAAGAAACCCACATTATAATGCACAGAAGTTGGAGGGTTTAGAGCTTCATTTCAGCTTATTTGCAAATTTTATGAGACTTCATTAATGTTCGAGCCAAAGCTGCTCCAGTTGTGTCTCCTGAATCTGTAACATTAGAGTATTTGCATATGTTGCAACCCTGGTATCACTTTTACAGGATTATGTAAAAGGGGAAAAAAAATCCCAGGCAAGCAGAAATCTAAAGGGATTTTTGAAATCATTATGTCTAAGAACAAATTTTAAACTCCCGTCATGAAAACAAAGTTATTTTCTCGTAAAGTCAATCTGAAATTGATCAAAGTGAATTTTTATTTATCTAAGTTAAAGTTTACATTAGTGTCAGTCATGTCTTTTGGAAAACAATGGGAAATGTTCTCCATCTTAACCAGCAGAGCTCCATGTTGAATTTCTGTCTCTATAAAATTCATCGCCTTCCATGTCAGATTATCAGTATTAAAAACATATTTATTTCATGTGTTTGCTTTATCTGTGCTCTTGGACCGCTTTGTGAGGGTTTGCTGGTGGAGTTTGATCTATTTTTCATGTCTTATGCTGATTTAAACGGTATGGACAGAGTTTGTACATCCACAACCTTATGCCTTATGTTGAAATGCCAAGATGGCATGTTTAATTTGTGCCTGTGGTACAGAGAAGAGTCTTCGTTCCTCGGAGTGCCTGTCACTACATTCTGGGACTGTATGAATAAATGCAACACTTGTAAACAAATCGGATTTTGTTGGTTTTATTTAAGAGACACTAAATGCAAAGTAAATACAAATGGTTTCTCATGCAACACTTTCCAAAACTATTAATAGTTTAACTTTGACAAGCACAAATGGTGCAATTTATTAACACTTTATAAGGGAAAGACCATTATAGAATAGGTAGAGAAAAAAGTTTTTAATTATCATCGAGTTTTGTGAGGAAAACAGTGCAGCAACTCTGGTCCTTAGCTGTAAGAAGCTGCAAAAAATATTTTGAGCTGTAACTTCATCTTTATTTTCTGGTTAAATCAAAGTCACACCTTTCATAATTTTATTTGTCAAACTTTTGAAAACCATTTTTAATTTTCCTTCCCTTTTATTCAAACTACTCCCAGTGAAATACTCTGAAGACTGTCTTTGTAACATGACATGTTCAAAAGTTTGAGCCATTTTGCTTCTTGTGGTGCATAAGATTCATCCAAATTCACCTTAAATCATGATTTAAAACGCACCCATATTATTAACCTCCAAGTTAACTAAGGATAAAAGTTATCAACAAGTCCACAACACCAAACACCTACATTTACGCTGAATGAAACATTGCTTTCCAGGGTCTCTAGCCATCAGTTTGTGAACTATAACTCCTCATTCGTACCTCTAAATTGGACAAGCAGATTTTTGAAAGTTTGTGGAATGGACTGGTAATTCTTTTTAAACATAAAGATGCTGTTATCGCTAAAAAAAGTCTTAATTAAGCCGAGTTAAGAGTTATGCAATGAAACTCGCCCACTTGCACACGTGATTGTTTTCTGATTTTATCTAAACTCGTTTTCCAAACCTTTGTTATTGTTTATTGGATCTAAACGTGTTGATTTTCACCAGGAAAGATGCTAATTTTTTATTTAGCTTTGCCTGTTGAATCACTGGGAAAAAATGCCTCTTGTGTCCAATTGAAAAAAATTGTTTTTTTATTTTTCTTTGTCAGTTCATGCAAAAACTTCATTGCTGCAGTTGTTGCCAAATGTTGTTATTGTAACTAGATTTAGGTGGATATTACTTTTTTGACAAGTGGGTCTCAAATAAAATCATTATTAAAATATTGCTTCTCTATTGACTCAGGTTTGATATTACCATTTGTTTGTTGGATCTGTCATTCAAAAAGCAAAGAGAGAAGACATCCATCAGGGGGTAAATGTATCTTCTACCTTTGAACTCGGTGCTCTGATACGTTAGTCGGGTCTTGTTCTCTGAAAGGTGAGAACTTCCTCGTCATTCAGAGCTGACGGTGCTTTGGTTTTGACTGCGGGGGATGAAGCGCATGCTCAGACTGTGTTCGTCCTCCACAGGCTGCTGAGACAGGTTGTTGGTCTGCCTGATGCTGCTGACAGTGCAGCCTTTGCGTGGACATACTGTGTAACGGAAGAGCAGGGTGACCAAGATGGCCTTCATCATCACCATGGCGATGTGTTTGCCCACGCAGGAGCGAGGCCCGCAGCCAAAGGGCTGGAAGAAGCGACTGGGCACCTGCCAGGCGGAGGAAGCAAAGGATCAGCTGGTGTTTGTTTCACTCTGCAGAGTCACATATTGTTTACACTCACCGGGTTGTCAAAGTTGGTCAGGCTGAACTCTCTGGGTTTGGGGAAGAACTCGGTCTTGTGCATGAGTCCAGTGTTCAGGATGATGTTGGTTCCTTTCCTGATCTTGGTGCCTTCGATGTCGTCGTCCTCCAGAGCTTTCCGCATGGTGAAGTCGACCACAGGGTGAAACCTCATGGATTCATTAATAAACTTCTCCATCACTTTCAGTCTTTCGTAATCGATGTTTTCCGTAGCTGTTTCATCTGTAAATGAAAGACCATTGTTTCACATTTCCAAAGCTCTTAATTTCACTGCTGGGACTTGATGTGACAGACCAACATAAAGCAATGCATAATTAAGAAGATGATATATGCATGGTTTTATTTATTTATTAATTTCCAGAATTTTTAAGTTTTTTTTAAAATTGTAGTATATATTCGTATTAAACAATCTTTTGTAGAACAACCTTTTATATTTCTTTATTTACATTTCATGTATGTTCAGTTATAGTCCTACTATCACCCAACTCTCTAAATATTTATTATTGACCTGCCTGTTTTATTCATCGTTCTTCATGGTGCTGTTTGTTCACAAATAGTCTCTAACAAGTCTTCTCTGAACAGCTGGATTAAGTCACATTTACTCAGAGGCATCACTATTTTTAATCAGGCGACCTCTGAGGGCACATGGTAGTACTAGGAGAATGATGCTGAGTTGTACTCAGTTATGGAAAATTCCAACTTCCTAATCTGAAAAATCAACTGGAAAACCCCCCGAAGAAAGATTTCTTACTGGGAAACTGGTAGCAACACCCACTACCTCTATTTATGACCGTTATTAAGGTGGACTTTGCGCCTCAATATGGCCGCCCCTTACATTAACACCAGCAAGATATGATGGAAATTGGAAATATGTTTATTTTACAGGATGTGAAAGTGTGTCTAAAATCAATGTAACGCCTTGTACTGCTTAAAATTATGTTTATAAAGTCCGACTACGCCATAGCCTGATGTGAAACTATGCTCCGAGTTCCCACTGCCCAGGCAACTTAAATAATAAATATTAAACAAAGCATATCTACACAATACCACAACATATTAAAGATCTACTGTTGTTGTATCAACCTTCCAGACCCCTCAGGTCTTCTGGTTCTGCTCTGCATCCCCAGAACCAGAACAAAACGAGGAGAAGCAGCTTTCAGCATCTATGCACCACGACTTGCATTTGAAACATAGTCAATTATAAATGTAATTATGGGACTTGACATAATGTCATGTTTTGATTGTTGATTCTATGTGTTTTTTATCATGTAAAGCACTTTGAAATGCCTTGCTGCTGAAATGTGCTACATAAATAAAATTTTATTGATTGAGTGATACAGATTTAAAGCAGACTTTTATTTCTCATTTTGCAGTTATGGACTATTTTGTCCCTAAAACTCAGTAAAACATTGAAGTTTGTTGTAATTCGACAAAAATCAGAATTACTTCGCTAACAAAAAGAACTGCTTGTGTAACTTTTACATGACAGAACAAAGTGCATTATTTGTGACTCAGAGCATTTTCTCTCACCCAAAACGGTGCTCATCTCCTCCACAAGCTGCATCTCCACCTTTGGGTTTTGTTTCAGCAGCATCAGCATGAAGAAGAGGCTGATGGAGAGAGTGTCAGGAGCTGCGATCACCATCTCCAGCACACACTGCCTGACGTTATCAGCAGAGAGCTCGCCATGGTTCTGTTGGGACAGAAAGTAATCTAACTGCAGCTTAGAGTTACCTCCAACATGTGGTGTGGAAAAAAAATATCTGATCTGTAGTAACAGATCAGGCTTGAGACTCTGGCAAATGGCAAAGAGCAAAAATCTTTATTTCAGTCGTTTGCAAACGGAGAACACACAGCAACCACAACACAACAGCTGTACCTACAATGGGTTCTGACTTGGAGCTGCAAGCTCTTACTATATATAGGACTCTCTATACAATGTGGTCACTCCCTGGCCCAGAGCCAGGTGAACAGGTTTGATGCACAGTCAGTAGTGGACAGGATGCATCTCTCCTTACTGAAAGGTCAGTTAATTATTTAGTTGACAAACATCTACTTGTTCAAAATATGGGAGTTTCCAAAAATTAGGATGCTAATGGAACAATTTTCCGTACCAAAAACATTGTAAGACCTCGTACATACTCTTCTAACATTCAACGAAGAAATTTGTTAGACCTTAGGGCTTTTTCCATCTTACTGTATTTACCTAAACTATCTGTTGTTATCTGTTAACAAACACTGGCGCCTTATTTTAGTCACTAACAGCCTGCTGGAACTTTTCCAAGGAGAGGTCAAAAGGAAACCTATCTAACTGACTCTGCAGAGACTCCTTGACCTGCAAGGTTTTAACAGACTGAACAATACTAATGATAAATGACTAAAGAATTCAAATAAGATTCTTAAAAGAAATAAGAACAATTTTTACTTCACAGTGGATAGCAGAAGAAACTGACCTGTGCAAAGATGAGCTCTGTTGCAAAGTCGAGGTCATCATCCAGCTTCTCCGTATCTTGAATGATCTGTCTTTTGATTTCGAGCAGACTCTCCATTGCATTCTGCAGCTCTTGGCTGTGAGTGGTGCAAAATAGAAAGTTGATGAAATCTCAAATGAAATGTGACACTAAAGTCATGATTTAAAGCTCTTACGCTGCTTTTTTATGTTTGTCGTAAAGCCATCCAATCTTGAAAAAGATGTCAGGCTGGATTAGAACCGTTTGCCAGGTTTCAAAGTAGTTATGGATTTTCACAAGCAGCTCCTTCTCTGAGAAAAAAAAGAAAGAAGAATTTCATGTTTTCAGCCAAGACGTTTGGAAGGTGCAAAGTTTGAATAAAGCAACTTACCATTGAGAGGAACCCTGAGGAACAATTTATTGGAGATGTCCACTACGATGGCTCTCAGGAGGTTGAGGGCGTCCACATGTCCAGAGGGGTCGGTCATGTCCTGGAGGTGGTCCAGGTGTTTGGCTGTGGAGCTCACACAGATTCCCACGGTCCGCTGAAGGCTGGGGCCTGACAGAGCTGCGACATCAACACAAAAATATGCAGTAACTCATTGAAACAGCGGTTCAGTCGTAAAACATTTTACCGCCGAACTCTGAAATGTGCTTCATGTCCAGAGGTTGTTACCTTTAGAGAAGTATGTCCTAGCTTGTTTCCAGAGTAGGATATTGCTGTTGAAAATGATACCCCTCCCCTCCATCCCAATGCACTCAAGGCCTTTTTTGCTCCCAAATCTGGATATGTAGTGAGGGCTCTTCAAAATGTGGTACACCGCAGAGGACCTGCAGCAGAATCCAGCATTTGTTTTTATTTCATTTGAATTTAATGCTTATTCTTTTCAAATGTGTCTCCACATTTGTGACACATTGTCATATGTGAAAATTTACTCCAAAGTCAATCCACATTTGGAAACGGATAAAAAAAGGTGCCCAGAAGTTCGAGGTTTCTCACATTTCCTCCACATTAAAATCCAATATGGCTGCCTAGCATATAAAAGCTAATAACAGAGAGATAAAAATCATTTAATTTCACTTCTGATCATTTGTTCCTCTATGCTTTTTTTTTTTACACATGTGTTGTCCTTTTAAAACTTACAGCTTTTTATACAATATATTGCTGCAATGTTTAAATGCACAAAATACAGAGAAGTACATTAGCTAGCAAATTACACAGACTTAAATTTAATCAAAACTCAGATAGTTTGATGTTTTCTGATCAAATTAGCTGGCTACAGTTTGTAATTTATTGCAAAAAAACTTTGTGCAATTCCCTGACAGCAGGAATTTTTTTCCCTCACGTTGGAGAAAAACGTGAGGAGTTAAGTTAAATGATTGTGGTGCTACTTATGGATAAAAAATATCTGTTGATGTGGAAGGGCTTTTTTCTGATATTCACCCAAAATAATTTTTCTTTAGTGCAAAATCCTGCTGCTGCATTAAAAATATATGAATAAATTTGATCTTCATCTGTTGTGACGAAACACTTACCTGCTGAAAATGATGGTTTCCTCCCCATTGATCCAGACCCGGACGGTGCTGCCATATTTGTTATTGTAGTAGTTGCAGGCTGTTCCAATCCCGGTCCAAAGGAATCTGCAGTAGGAAAGGATCGGACCAAGTCCTGCATAGAAACAGGGACCTAAAGTAGAAAGAAGTTGTAAGTCAGTCTGCAGCGGATCTCAGTTCACGTTTCTGAACTATGGCTGCTTCTCAAACTCACTTTCTCTTCCTAACTTTTAAACAAATTTACAAATGTTAATTTCATGCAAAGAAAAAAAAATGCAGTTTTCCCTTTCAAATTTTGAGATTGATTTGTAGTCAGAATTAATCTTGAGATTATTTATTCACCAGTTTATAGCTCTATTTTGCAGAATGAAGCCTTTTTTTTCTGACTGTACCTGGTATTGGGGAACTCTGTGTTTGGCTCCAGCTGGTGATGAGCAGAAACAGCAGCAGCAGAAGAAGCGCAACGGGGGTGACGCCACACAGACTGTGAACCTCCATCGTGGTGAGGATCTCTGGTAACATTGTCTCCTCTATTCGTCCAAAGCGGTTGTGCAAAAGGAAGAAAGCTCTCTGCCGTCTGTTGGTTAGAAAGAGTTGAAGCCTCCTTCAACCAGCATGTAAAGCAGCCCTCCTCTTCCTCTCTTTTAATCCTGTCCTTCAGTGTTGGGAGGTAACAAAACACACTGACACTGCACTTCACACAGTGGATCTCGGAGGTGTACACACCCCTGGCAAATTGCCTCCTTTTTTGTAGCGTAGTAAGTAAGATCAATAAATCATGTAAAACTGCTTCCATATAAAATGTGACATGCATCCTGTGCAATTCAGTGGGGAAATAAATCTGTTTGAATTAACAAAACCAGTGCAGCAACCTGGTTGCATAAGGGCTCAGTGTTGAGGGAGTGTAGGGATTTTCTCACTTTGCCATTCAGATGTTGCTCAAAACTACCAGATTTGGAACAAACTTCTTGTCCACAACCATTTCCAGGTGACCCCACAGATTCATATTTCATCTCAAGATTATGAAATTCTGGGTTGAACTTTAAATTTCCACTCAGGAAGACATTCTTTTCCTGTTATTAACGTAAGCTTAAATTCACTGGGATGCTGAAAACATAACTTGGTGTGTTAGACACCAGAACCGAGTCGCATTCAAAGGTTCATCCATCTGCATGAAACTTGATAAGAACCCCAGTTCTAAGAGTACAATGCTGCCACCACCGTGTTTCAGGCTTTGGATTTCTTTTGGTGATGTGAAACTTTTTTTTTATCAGATCATAATATAATTTACACACTCAGAATTTTAAGAGATTTTTCACCAGGGCTAGAGCTAAAGTGTCTCCAACTTATTTTTCCAACTAAAGTAGGTGCATGATGGCAGATTTAGTCTCTAACATCTTTATTTGCATTTATTTTATATTTAGTGTTCTTCATTAAACCCAACTGTTGGAATAATTGTATGTAAGTTATCCCATGTATTGTTTTTCTTACTATGTATGTTGGAATGCTGTAAAACTGTTACTGTGAAGATTAACTACTTATTCTGTTTGATGTCCGGAACGAGATTATCACGTACAAAATAATTGTGTTACATAGAAGAAGAGGCAATCACAATATACATGATCAAAGTACTGTCTTTGCATCTCCTGAGGTTACAGTTTGTTTGTTGTCTCTGGGGTCATAAAGTTCAGTTCCTGAGACTTTGGGTTGTATGCAAACGACCCATTCTTCCTATCAGACTGGATGTCGCCCTGGCCATCCCAGGTGACAGAATCATCACTTCAAAGATAAAAGAAACACAAATCGATCCCAGGGGCATTGTATTCTCCTGGTCTTTGTATTTGTATTTGTATTTGTATCTAACACTTAGTTGGGAATTGAGAACTGGCACTGTAGCTGTGTGATGAATTGTTTACCCAACGCCTTTTTAGAGCTACAGTGTCCTTGTGTAACCAGGGTGACCTAAGGAAATAAAAGGCGTTGAGAACAGAGACGTACTCAGAGTGTGTTGGAGATTGTAACTGATGTACGTCTCTGGGGCACTCTCCTCGCGAGTAAAACTTAACTGATGTGTTCTGTCTTTCTTTCCAGGTAGTGTTTTACTAATGTTAGGGGTTTAAACCTGACACCAACCTTTACATATTGTTCTGCTTTTTTCTAGTTTCACCAATTAACAGAGGTTCTATTTTGTTTAATTTACACAGTGACACAGATGATTGATTATAAATCTTTTTTTTTATACATAAATTGAGTAGTGCTGGTCAGTTCACGTACACAATTCAACAAATTTTCTTTAGGAAATGCTAAGGCATTAATTTGCAAAAAAAGTTGCAAGCAGTTTCTTGTTGTATGAAGGCAGATATTATGTCTAATTACATCTGATTGGAAACTACTGGATCATGCAAAGATTTTGAAAAAGAAAATAATTTTTATTTCAGAAAGCATTTTTTTTGTGTGTTTTCTAAAAGCACCCAAAAAATTTAACAAAACTAAAAAAAACTTAGTTTTTGCAAGGATTTTCTAACAAAAATAACCTCTGTTAGTTTTTGGGAGCAGCATTTTTAGCAAAAACAAATATTTTTCTACATACATAAAATACTTGCAGATTACCCAGACAAAGCAATTATTTGATTATCTGGCGAAATTGCTTAGTGTAAAACAGTTTCTGAAATTAGTGTCCAATTAAACAAATTAGAAAATGGTGAAATAAAAACAATCTACATTAGAACAGAACACAGTAAAATGAGTTAAATCAAAGAAATGCTACTAACCTCTTCTCCTGAGAAGTGGAAGTTGGATTTGAGGAGCTGCAGAACTCCCACCGCCGTTTTAAAGGTGGTCTACATTCCTCCACCACATAAATCACAGTGAATCGAGTGTTTATAAATCCTTGGTCGAGCCTTCACTCCACTGGTTGCTTGGAAACTTTGCCACTTTTGGGTTACAAGGACTGTTACAAGGCAGTGAACCGCCAGCCGGGTCAGACAGAGCATGTCTAAAGCATAAATTAGCTTGAAAAAGAATAGAGAAGAGTTTTTGTCATTATTGAGGTGAATACAAAAGGATAGACTCTTTTTTTTTTTTTTGCATTGTGTGTTTTTTTCTCCTGCTTTTTGTGCAGAAAGACCACATGGTCCAATTCATCAACCAAGCAGGCTTTTCAAGGGGAAATGAATTAGCTGGGTCAGGCTGACCCTTGTCAAAGGAAACTGGGACTTGCCCAGAAATTCAAGGAGGGAAGAAGACAAATGAAAATATACATATGCATAGTAAGTAGATCGACTCATCTCTATTGAATTTCCCTTTGAACTACCGCTTTTTTTTCTGCAACTAACTTTAAAAGAAATAAAGAACTTATAAAAAGCTTGAGTTCAGAAAAGGTTGTCCTTCAGCTTTTCTACATCAGAAATGCTCCTAATTTGTCTCTTGCTGTTCAGCTCTGCAGTTCCCCAATAAACCTGGTTTACTCTTTGCAGCTGAAACTGTTTAATATCTGGAATTTGAGAGCAGCAGTGCTTTGAAAAAGTTTTTTCCCCCCCATAAAGATGTCTTTTTTGTCACACCTAAGCATTTCAGATCATTAATCAAACTTTATTATCGCACAAAGAGAACTTTAGTAAATAGCCACTTTCGAACGCATAAAAAAAACAAACCATCCAAATCAGCCTGACCTTGTTTGGGAAAGTAATTGCATTCCCAGCAGCAACTCTCATCAAGGCTTTGCAACATCTGGCAGTTGTTTAAATTCAGCCACATTCATGCGTGAACAGCTTGTTTAAAGCAATGCAGCAGCATTTCAATTGGATGAGAGCCAATCATTTGAGCAGGCCTCTACAAACCTTTTTGTTTTTTAATCTTAGCCATTTGGAGGTGAGCCGGTGTGACCATAGCCCTGCTACTCATCTCAGGTTATAAACCGATGGCCAAACTTTCTCCTTCTGGATTTATAGAGACGGATTTATGGTTCCATAATTTTGCAGCAAGTCGTCCAAATGCTGAAACAGCAAAGCACCTTGTGAGTATCACACTACCATTTCTATAATGATGTTCTTTTTCTGAAATGCTGTGTTGGTTTGGAGCCAGACGTAACAGGACACACCTTTCAATAAGTTCATACAATATTTTCCCCAAAGGACTCGGGACATTTATGTTATTTTTGCCTCGGAGCCATTTTTGTTACTGCTAAACTAAGAACACTGGCCTTAACTGAGGCAATGAAGGTTTTCAGTGCTTTCCATGTCGTTGTGAGGTTTTCTCCTCCTGGATGAATTGCCGATGCTCTCATGGAGCAATTTTATTACACTGCAACAACACAATTTGTTGCACTAGCTTCTTGTGCAAATATCTTGGCACCCTTGAAATAAGACAAAATTAACTTAAAAGTAACTTTTCACTAAGCCATAGAGGCTAATTTCAAGTAATTCCTTATGACTGATGAAAAAGTACTAGTTCCATTTGGTAGATTATTTCACTTATAAAATTTTTCCCATATTTTTATGGTTAAATTTATTTTTTTCTTTTAATCAATATTAAGGAATTATTTACTGAAAACAAGCAGCTAAATCTTGCTGATTAGTAACTTTTCAGCTTGTCTTATCTCAAGTTTGCTGAGATGTTTGCACCAAAACTAAACCAAACATACTTGGTGAGGCTTTGTGTTTTTGCAGTGTAGGCTGGAAACTTCCAGGAAGGCTTGTTGCGTTTCAATGTTTTCGCCATTTTTGAAGTCCTACAGCTATAGAAATGCCATTCAAATCCTTTCCAAACAAATCAATTATTTTGTTTCAATTTTTTTTTCTTTAAATTAGGGAACAACATGTTGATTTTTAGTCTACTTCGTGTAGTCGGACAGGCTTCATTTATTCAACAACTAATCAAATCTGGATTTGACCTCTGAAATTAAACTCCAAGGATTCTCATCTGTCATAGTTAATCCATTATTTATCCTGAACCAGTTTTGTTTAGGTAGATTCCTTCCCCTGAAGACGTTAAATATTTTAAACTACTTTCCCATTTTGGACATTTTCTAGTTTGATAACCTGAAATAAAATGAATCTGTACTTTTTCCAGCGCTGTATATAGTATTTGGACATATGGGAAAGAAAAGGGATGTTTTGACACCCACACGTCCTTCCAAACAGTCCGACCTTCACAAAGCTCTGTTGTTGATGCCAACAGTGTTCTCCTTGTTTCAAACCTGTTTATTCCACTTCTAAAGCATTTTCAGGGGGTTGTGCTGGTGATAATTTTGAAAGGAAAAGCACTAGAATGATGAGGCGTGCTGCCTTGTCAGTGGGATGTCATTCTTAAAATATGCCCATTATAGCTGCTTCTAAATCAGGCAATGTTTCCCAGATGCTTGTTGCGCAATGACTCGCGCTGCAGTGCACGGACACATTTTGACATGTTTATTTCTCTCCAGTAGCTTGAGTGTGACGTCTCATCTGTTGGCCGCCTCTCAGATATGTGCTGTGTGTGCTGGTGAGGTTCAGAGATCAGATATCCGTGCAGCTGAGGAGCGAGGACTGGCGCACCAACAACATGAAAGACAGAAGAGAAAGTTTTCCCCTGTGGAAAACTTTGCTGGTGGGGATGTCTGTGCTGCTGCTGCTGCTGCTGGGCTGTGCAGGTTTGGTTCTGCTGTGGGTTCAGCACAGGGAGCTGGCAGAGGAGCTGGTCAGGCTGGAGTCCCAGATGCAGGAGTTGGCACAGTGCTGCAGGCGGCAAGCAGGACTGCTGCCAGATGAACTCGGAGAGACTGGAGAGCTGAGGAAACTCCGGCGCAGCAGACGGAACCAGGAGGGAGAGCAGGACAAGATGATGCTGGTCACATACTCTGTGGTTCCTGTAAGATAACTCACTGCTTGCACATTGAGCCTTGTCTACTTACTGTTTAATGTTTATCTATTTTACACACAGACAACATTTCATTAACATTTTAAACACGTGGGACAAGGATATAGTAAAAAATGCTAATGTATTGCATCATTTATCATTTAAGGGACAAAAATTCAGATTTATTAATTTCACAATGAATGTAAATAGACTAAAAAATAGAATTAGTTGCACTTTTGTTTGTGAGTGTATTACAAATAGTATGTTTTCCAAGAACAGTATGAATGTTGATGGTAATTAATTAAGATTTAACATATTATGAAATGGTAGAAAGGGAATATAATTATTAATTACGTACATGTTCAGTAATGTATTGTTCAGATCTCACTAAAACCTGGCAAATATAACAAACAATTCATAAAACCATGTCTGATATTTATGCAAACATTTTATAACTAGTATAATGTCATAATCTCATCTGGTATGTGATCAAAAGATGTTTCTGCAATTCAGTGTAAAATTCTGAATGGGACAGTTTTCCAAGAGTTTCAGCAGTTATTTCTAAGAAACATAAATGTGTCTGTGTTCCCATTTGGCAGAAGACAACTATGTGTGTTGCTTAAAGAATGCACGAGTCTGTTACAGTGATTTAGAGGGGTGTGTGTTTTAATGCTTCCCTGGATAAAACGCGGAGTGGCGGAGCATGCCCGCTGCTTTCTCAGCTCATAGCCTGAAAGACCTGGCACTTCCTCAAAGGAGAAATATACCACTTTAAAGTTGCTTTGACATGATCAATGGTTCAGTTGTTGTTTTGATCTACTTGAGTGAAAACGCTTGCAGACATAAAAGTTGTACTTAAGATTACCAATAAAAATCTACATTTCATCGGGTTTTATTGAACAAATGAAGTGTGCCAGGTTATTTTAGGAACATTATGCTTGGAAATGTTTTCGTGTTAAGATTCTGATTATCCGAATAGCAGATAATAGATAGATAATCACAGTAGATGCTCTGATTCTAATGATCGTCTTTGTTTGTTTTGTTCAGATCAAAGCCTACCTAGATCTGTGCAACAGCTCCAGAGGATTTTGTTTAATAGGTGGGAATATTTTATATTAATACACTCTTATTTCATTGCAGCTTCGTTACTTTTTAAAGCTTAACTGTTATTTTATGTCTCCCTTTTTCCAGGTCCACCTGGACCCCCAGGTAACAAACTCACACTTCAGTAAAGGAGCATCTGCGTAAAGGATCGCTGTTGCATAAATGAGTATTTTTGCGTATCAGGTGTGCCAGGCCCACCAGGACCGACGGGTGCGCCGGGCCCACATGGCAGACGAGGACGACCAGGTCAGACTCTAATCAGATCATGGAGAGAAAGCCCTTGTGTTTAACAGTAGCCCAAACAGATGAAGAAACCCAGACACCAAAGTTGTTTCCATGTTTCAAACAGTCTGTCATTGTTCGGCTGCGATTGCATAATCTGGGCATCCCACTCACTGTCTGCAGGACACTTTGTCTGCAGCTGCATGCATGTTTACTACACTCATGTGTTTGTTTGTTGCAGTTAAATAATGCAAATTGCAGAATGTTTTTATTCAACGTAAACAAGAAAAGCAGCGTGTGAACAACTTTTCTACATCCAGTGTTGACTCCCTTTTATTTTGAATCTCTAACAGAACTTGTCTTGTCCTGTCATGTTTCACAAGTTTCAGAAAGAGTAGCAGTTAACTCAGGCCCATCCTGTTTTTGTGGTTTAGACTTTTGTTATGGCAGTTTTAAATAATCATAATGTGTCAACGTATTTTAAACAGTTGGGATGTACCATGAGATGTAGATAAGTCTCTAAAAGTGAGCGACGGTTCAAAGGAGATGGATGCATTTTTCTCTCCAAGTAAATTTAAAAATCAATGAAATATAACTTGATTAAAAAAAAAGATGTTTCTGAAATAAAATTCATTTATTAAGATAAAAGAACAAACCTGACTGTGTTTAAAAATACACTGTAAAAAAACCCATCTGTGATTTACAGTAAAATACAGGCAGAATTTTACCATAGAAATAGACATTTTTTTATATTTATACTTTTTTTTTACAGTGTACTATCTCCCTAAATCAAAGAACTGTTTGCACAATCTTTAGCAGCAGCAACAACCATTATTAGCAATAATTGGCAATGAGTCATCTGCATTTCTGTAGAAGAATTTTGACCAAATGTGAACATGAAGAGCCTGTTAAAGGTCACAAAACGTCATTTCAATAGGCTTTCAATCTGGACTTTAACCATTCAGATGTGGACTTGCTGGTAATCTAGTGCCTAACCCAAAAGTGTTTGAGTTTGAAGGGAACATATTGTACAAAATTTACCCTTTTCACGTTTCTGTTCTTCCGTTTTGGTTTCTGCTGCTTCTAAAAACACACCAAACGCTTTAAAAAAGGCACCCAGCCAGGTTTTGGCAATAAGTTAATGCTTTTGGTATGTGGAAAATGAACAGTTTAAAAAAACCTCCAACATGTTACATCACCAATCAGCTGGCACTGTTACCTAAGCAACCTCGTTAAAGCCCAGGCCATCACCTAGCAATGCAAACAGAGCTCCAGCACCTTTGGTCAGCCGGTTTTACCGCTGCATGCGCTGTACAATGACTGCTGGAGAAGACAAATGTTTTGTTGTTGACTTACCATCCAGAAACCACTTGCTTGTTGGTGGTACAGAAGGCTCTACTTCTGCTTTTCAAAGATTTACAGTTGTATAATTGTGCATTTGTTTGCAGCCATTTTAACATGCTAGTCTAAATGGATGGATGGGGTTATTCAAACAGTAAAGCAGCTACGGACCATTACACCACCATGTTTGACCGTCAGTATGATGTTCTTTTTCCAAAATGTTCTGTTAGGTTTACTCCAGACTAAGTTACACTTTTGCCTCTTGAGTCCATAGAATATTTTCCCAAAAGTCTTGAAATTCATCAAGACATTTCCAGGAAGTCTCACACGGACCTTTGTGTTGTCTTTGGTCAGCAGTGGTTTTTGCCTCAGAACTCTTTTCTTATTGTTGACTCATAAACTCTGACCTTTACCGATGCCTAAATGTGATCTTGGAGTCGTTTTGATTGGCCGATGATTTACCACTGCTCCATGTTTTCTTTGCTCGTAGATAATGGCTCTCACTGTGGTTTAATTATCTGAAACAAATGTGCCTAGTCAAAGCAAAAAGTCTTAAACAAGGACCCGAGTTAATCTTGTTGCCATTCACATTGATTAGAACATTAAGGGAGAACTGTAGCAAATATTGCAGAGTGAAATTATACAACTGCAGTAAAAGATTTAAGGAGTCTATGTGTCCTAATACTGACTACTTGTTTTTGTGAAGGTCCTCCTGGTCCTCCCTGTCCTGCTTGTTGTCCGACTGAAGCAAAAAGTAGGAATCACAGAAATAAATCAAAGGGTAAGAACAGCAACAATTAAAGAAAGCAATGTGGTTCTTATTCACTCAAGAAAAGAAACAGAGAACAAATTAAACCAACACACAATTAAAAATTGATTAAGTGACACCTGCTTGGAGAAAGGCTTGGTTTAAATTTATCGGGATACATTTTTTTTTGTAATTGGCCAAAAAATTTGGATTTCTGGCTGCATTAAGAAATCAAATCAAAGTGCTGATTTGATTTAACTTGGAAATTAAATTAAATTAATTAAATTAATTAAAAATAAATTAAATTAACTTGGAAAAAAACATTAAAATGATCAAACTAAAATTTTGATGATTCCCAGTTTAATTATGATTTAAATAATTAAATTATTTCCATCATATATTTTAATGAAACATATCACCCGACATTTTTTTTTTGTCTGTAAGCTAAATTTAGATGTGTTTTATAGTTAGCTATTTTTTTCATTAGTTAATTTAAATGAATCATAAATTTCCTTTCCTGGACACCACCAACACATTCGATGAGCACAAAATACAACATCGTGGCTAAGACAGTTTTCACTAAAAAGCGTTAAGAAAGATGATTTAGATGCAAACTAAAGCATGTTTAATTTATTTCTTTACTCTCAGATCGAGTTACATCACATCCAGGCAATGAAACCAGAGACGTTCTGAATGTTACTGGACCCGTTCAGGACACAAAACGTGGTTTGTAAAAACTGACAAAGGGGAAAAAGACTGTTTGAGAAATTCAGTTATAATGTCTTAAGAATAAAATCTCATATTCTGTCTGTTTTTCTAGAATCTGTATCTTTTCATCGAGAGGTTAATGTTTCACTGAACGATACCAGAACCGAAAATGTCACACAGACACCGATTATACCAGGTAAGAAATTCGTTGTTTTCAACTTTTAATCAAACAAATTCAGCGTTGACCTTTATGTACAGTTCCTGTCAAGCTCCACACACACAGCCGTTAAATTTCTGTTTTTTGTGATGTAAAAAATGAGACCATAATAAATCCTTTCATGAACTTTTATAGTAAAAATGGGGCATGTATCCTTAAAATTAAGCAAATAAACCCCCAAAAAACAAATGTGTTAAAAGACAAAAATGTAAAACAGGAACTATGTAAAAATTTCAATAATTGAATACATTTCCAACTCCTTAAATTAATATTTTGAGATAGAATTTAAGTTTAGTAGAAATGTTAGAGAGACATTAGGGGTAGGTTGTCATCAAATCTCATTTTGACAGGTGCCACGCCCCTTTGACCTCTATTTAACCCCCCCCCCACCCCCCTCCTCCTCCTCCTCCCCCTCCTCCTCCTCCTCTCCTCCTCCTCCTCCTCCCCCTGCTCCTCCTCCTCCTCCTATTGATTTTTATCTTTTTTAAAGAGTAATACCAATACAAGAACAGTTATTTAATCAAGAAAAATGTATATAATTATATACTATGCCTACTGAAGTTTTAAATAGATTTGGAATGGAGATGTTACTTCTGATTCTGTGCCTGTGTTCAGCCTGGCCTACGACTGGGGTCTGAGCTGGGGGCTTGATCAAATATAGGTACGGCCTGTGAAATCCCTTCGGGGGGGTCGTTCTCAGTAGATCTCACTGACATATGGTCTGTGTGTTAGGTTTTTCTGTTTTCTCTCTGCTGAATTCAGAAAATGCCGTATATCTGACTTTCTTTTTAAGAGTAATACAGCACCCAACAACAGTTATTTAACCAAGTAAAATGTATTTAACCAAGTAAAAATGTATATAATTATGTAGTAAAGCCTAGTGAAGTTGAAATAGATGCCGGAGATGTTGCTTCTGATTCTGTGTCTGTGTTCAGCCAGGCCTACAACTGGAGGTCTGAGCTGCGACACGCAGGGCCTGCGAGAGAAGGAAGTAGTAGCTGCATACTTTGCAAACTTTGCAGGATGCAGACAGAATGATAAATTAGCCACCTCGGGGGGAATTCAGAGCAAGACCCTCATGAACCCTGCTGGTTCATGAGGGCAGACCAGAGCCACATCTGGTTTTTTTTTTTCTCAGTTTATCGCTCTTTGTCTAAAGAGTAATTACCTTCAGTTATCTGTGAGCGACACACGCTTTAAACACATTTGAAACCCATAGATTTTTCTGTAACACTCACTAGTGTGATACATTTCAGTAAATGTTTCTCATTTGTACATGTACTTCTTAAGAATATGTGACTGTTTGTAAGCAGGCCAATGGGAGGTTATTCAAATTAGACTTTTAACTTTCCTTGGTTAAAGAATTTGTCCAGAATTTTCCAAAATTTATCCTCGCATCATTGTAAATGCTACTTTCGTTCAATTTTTTTTCCTGCTGCTGAATCAACACTGATCTTCCCAGAGCTTCATGCTTTCTCCAAAATAGTAAACGCCGGTATAAACACATTTGAAACTCATACATTTTTCTCTGTAACACTCGCTAGTGTGAAACATGTCAGTAAAAGTTTCTCATTTGTAAATTTATTTCTTAAGAATATGTGACACTTATTAAACAGACCTTACTGAGACTACTCATATTTAAGTTTTAGCTTTCCCTAGAGTTGAAAGTTTTTTTTTCTCTCTTTCTTTCTTTATTTTTTTAACACTGCACAACTACGCTCCGACATGGTAAATTATTTTGTTACCTTTATCATTATCCACTACTTTTGTCTCTAACTTATATGCTGTATGTTTCTCGGCCCAAATGATGCTTTTTTCCCTCCATCCATCATTTTACACACTTGAGTGTGTTCAGTAACAAAATGTAGTTGTTGAATTTTCCATTACTGAAGCTTATAAATGATCAATGTAAACTTTCAGTCTGTATTCAGATAGTGAATACAATTCATATTATTTAGATTGGATGTTTTAATGCATGCACTTGGATTTCTATCGATTTATTGAATGATGGTCGTAAATATTTATCAAACTGAATGGCCATTCAGGTTTCATATAATTGTTTTAGTTTGGTTTTTGTTGCACAACTTCAATATATGCTGGCTATCAACCAACCATTCAATCAGTGATTTTTTTTCTTTTTTTTAAAATAACCCCTCTCACATCTTCTGACAACTAGCCCCAAGTTATAATAACATTAACTAAGTTTTGCTAATGGTGCACTTTACCTAAAAACAAATATTAAAAAAATAAAACACTCACTACACAGCCCTTCTCCCAGAGCTGGTCACAACATGGTGATTGTTTTTTTTTTTTACCGTTAAAATTATCTACAGCTTTTGTTCCTTGCTTCTCATGATGCTATCTGTTCACTAATGTTCACTAATGTTCACCTCTTGTAAATGATAAGCTTATTAACGAACAATATGAACCATCAGCATGCGTTAAAGAAGATCATATCAGTCAGATGAAGTAAAAATATCATGATACTCAAAGCAATCAAAAATATTGATCTGAAAGGTAATTTCTCCTTTTCAGGGAGCTTAGACTGAATGAAAGGAATTATTGAAATATACGACAAAATATTTAATTTGCAGAATTCCGATAATAGAACTTCAACTATGAATTGAAAGATTACATTGTATTTATTAACTGAAGATCACTTAATAAATCAACTGTTAATTAGTCATCATACTATGTAAATGACTAACAAAATTTGAACAAACAAGAAACTTGACTACCTCAAGGGATTTCTCACATTGGAGAATCAACTGTCTGATTTTCTTTAGCCCATTAAATTTAACCTTACCAAAGCTCTGCAGTAAAGCAAACGGGTACTTAGTTTGAAGCCTGAATCAGATGCCTTCAGCCTTCTGCTGAACCTGGACTTTGGCCGCTCTGAGTGTAAAATAAAACATCAGACTTTTTTTAAAAAAAAAGTCCAAGTGAACATCACTTAATTATCATCAACTAGTTGTTTATACTCATCTTAACCCTCCTGTTGTCCTCGGCTTATGTCGACCGAGGACAAGCCCTTAAAAAATATGTTTTTCAATTGCAGCTGCATACAGAAACTTTAATCTAACAGTCCTGCATCAGAACTATGGTGTGCACAACTCAGGGGAAGTTTAGGCTCAAGCAATCCAAATGTGAACTTTACAAAAGAAATAAAAATAACCAAACCCAGGCCTCAGGTCAGACTGACCGGAAGACTAAGGAAATCACAGCTGGACAGGCAAACAGTATGGAATGGCATCACTGATCTCCGTAAAACTGATATCTTTTCAAATTTCCCCTCCTGTTGCCCTCGGGTTGACATGACCCGAGGACAAGCCCTTATAAAACATTTTTTTAATTGCAACTGCATACAGAAACTTGAAATCTAACAGTCCTGAATCAGACCTACAGTGTTCACAACTCAGATGGAATTTTCTGCTGCAGCAATTCAAATGTGAACTTGACGAAAAAATAAGAACAACCTCCTGTTGTCTTCGGGTCAAAATGACCCGAAGACAAGAGGAGGGTTAAACCATTGGCAGGAATCTTTGGATAAAACACACAAACAATAAAAAAAAAAAAGCTTTATCAGTTAATCTATTTAAATTGAGTCCACGCAACAACTAAAAAAAAAATAAAAAAGTGAACTATATGAAAGTAGTGAGGATTTTGTGTGCTAAATGTTTAACGTTTTAACATGCCCAGCAGACACCACACCATTTCTGCTCAAGCAAACCACAAGGTTTTGAACAGGACAACTATGTCAAAAAAAAATACAAAATGAGACCGTGTATCTTTATTGTATGTAGCAAATATATTGCTGCTGGTGCTGCTGCTGCTGCTGCTGTAGGTAGAAAATAAAAGAAGTTTTGCAGAGAATAATATTCTGGATGAGTTTAAGAATATTCTTTGCCAAAATTACACAGTGTAACTACACTTGTATTTTATATGTTGCAGTAACTGAATCTTTTGAGGCAATTGGTTTGCATAAATTTAAGTAAATCCAACCTATTTTCCTGCTCTACATACTTAGCTAGCAATTCGCCAGTTAGCTTCCCAGTCTGAATTTCTGTGCAATGTCTTTATTCAGTGAACTCTTCTATCCTGTACTCCAATTCTATTCCTGAACTCCGATATTCTACATCCATTTTGTGAATGTTTTGCTTGCTTGTTGATCTTCAGCATGCTCTGAAGGCAGTATCTGGTTTCTCTTACTTTAAACCGTCCAACTTGCACCTGATTGGCACTTTAGCCTTTTGATTCCCTGTTTGATTCAATCTGTTGCTCTCTGCCTGGTGGTTGTTTCAGAAGATGAGGAAACATGGTGACTGAGGTTTACAGCCAACTAGCCAGATTATGCAGCTTTTTTTTACTAGATAGCGGTCCTAAAAAACTACATACCTTTAAAATATGAACAAATACGTACAATTCCTTAATTATTTGATTCATGGGTGATACAAGTTTGGTCATTTGGAATGCAACTCAAGGACATAGTCTTGCTCTCAGTAAATACAACTGTCATCTTTTAACCTTGTTTCTTGTCCAGTAGCAGAAATACTTACATTAAGAAGCCACAGTCCAGCAGGGTTCATGAGGGTCTTGCTCTGAATTCCCCCCGAGGTGGCTAATTTATCATTCTGTCTGCATCCTGCAAAGTTTGCAAAGTATGCAGCTACTACATTCCTTCTCTCGCAGGCCCTGCGTGTCGCAGCTCACTCCAGTTGTAGGCCTGGCTGAACACAGACACAGAAATCAGAAGCAACATCTCCGGCATCTATTTCAACTTCACTAGGCTTTACTACATAATTATATACATTTTTACTTGGTTAAATACATTTTACTTGGTTAAATAACTGTTGTTGGGTGCTGTATTACTCTTAAAAGAAAGTCAGATATACGGCATTTTCTGAATTCAGCAGAGAGAAAACAGAAAAACCTAACACACAGACCATATGTCAGTGAGATCTACTGAGAACGACCCCCCGAAGGGATTTCACAGGCCGTATATTTGATCAAGCCCCAGCTCAGACCCCAGTCGTAGGCCAGGCTGAACACAGGCACAGAATCAGAAGTAACATCTCCCATCTTTATTTAAAAGTCAGGCATAGTATATAATTATATACATTTTTCTTGATTAAATAACTGTTCTTGTATTGGTATTACTCTTTAAAAAGATAAAAATCAATAGGAGGAGGAGGAGGAGGAGGGGGAGGAGGAGGAGGAAGGGGAGGAGGAGGAGGAGGGGGAGGAGGAGGAGGAGGGGGGTGGGGGGGGGTTAAATAGAGGTCAAAGGGGCGTGGCACCTGTCAAAATGAGATTTGATGACAACCTACCCCTAATGTCTCTCTAATGTTTTATATTCATTTGGTAATTTTTAAGTCACACAGTTCTTGCAATATATCCGATAGTGACAAAATATCTTTTTCAAAGCCTTCTTGAAGTTACCCAAAAGACTTTTAGCTAAATTTAACTCAGCATGTTTGTTCAACTATTTAAAATGTTTTTATTTTCTTCTGAAGTCTTTTTTCCCCCTTTTATTTGAATGGATATTTGGACTCCTTGTGATGCTGAAAAATAAAATTCACCTCCTGTTCACCTAAAATGTATCCTTACAGCAGATGCTCTAAAGTTTTAGAACAAAACTTGACAAAAATCCCAGTTTATTCTGAAGAAAGGAACCTCAAAGCATGCTACCGCCACCACCGTGTTTTGTTGTGATGATGCTCAGTGACGTTTATGGGCCAGACATGCTTTGGAGCTTTGGCCCAAAAGTTTGGTTTCATCGGACAGAAACTTATTCTTACACAAGTATTTTGGAGATCCCAGCCCAACCTGGATGTTTTCAAACATTTATTGTGTAGCCGTCATATGTGCAGATTACAGCAGATTACTGTAACATCTTGAGCACAAATCGTACGTGTTAAAAACTTTTGCAGCTCCCTCAGTTTGTTTGTATTTTTTCTATATTTTCTTCAATTGATCACCATGCTTTCTACCATGCTGTTGAAAATTGAATGAGAAGGAGCTCCAATACTTTTTTTTCTTTGCATTTTTTTCTTTGATTTGTAAATATTACATTAGATGCAGAAAATTATTTATTACAGTTAAAATGTTTTATTTTGGGGTTTTTTTTAGCCAAGAATTGCAGATTTTTGAGAGGCACTTTATTTGTATTTAAAACGTTCCATCAAACTGTCTCCTAGTGTCTCTAGCTGTTGACTCCGGTGGAAACATTGATCCTTCAACTGGCGGCTCAGATGTCACTGATAGTACAGCAACAAGTGGTAAGGAGGTCTGATATTACACAAGTCTGCTTTTATTTCCTGCAAAGTCTGAGTCATTCACGTTTGGAGGATTTATTACAGTCATTTTCATCTAAAAAACAAATCTAATCTGGGCTGGAACTTTATGATTTAGGCCAACAACGAGAGTATATTGTGCCATCTTTGTCTGTTTTGCATTAAGTTATCCCAGTTGTGTTTTCTACAGAGTTAATTTCGCCTCGTCCAGATTATTCACCTGCACACTGGATGAACAGCAGCTCAGAAATCAGAAGAGAAACGTTAAAACATTTGACAACAGGTAAATTCTGGGACTTATTCATAACATATTTTACTCAAATTATATTTCAAATGGCTGCTATAAATTAAAAATTGGTATAAAATCAGCTATAAATTAAACAATTTAAATCTATACTGTGTTTTTATAGTGTCACCAACACCTAACGTTGACCATGATGACAAAGAAGCTTTGAACAACACGGACTTTGAGAAACTTCGTCATAGAAACTTTAAACCTGGTATTGCATTTATTTGAGTATCAAAGATGACCTTAGATAACTGTAATCCTGTTTAATTTGCATGAAAAGTAAACATCCCTTTCAGATAATCATTAACTTCTCTCTATAGAAATACCAAAACCTCATCCAGCTGGAAATATCCTGAATGGCTCAGAGTTTGAGGAACATCTAGACACAAAACGTGAGTCTGGTAAGATCCCACCACTGAGATTTATCTAAAGGTAGAACATAAAACAACAAGAACAAAAAAAAATGTTTCTTTTTTGTCAATAGAGTCAGAGCTGATTTATAAAAATGATTGGGACTCTAAAAATGTTACAGAAGTCTTTCAATTCATTAGCGATAGGTTTGACATTTTCATTGCGTTTTTATTTACTGGAACTGAAATACAATTTGTAACATTTATTTCTACATTAGATGAAGTTGGTGAAGACCAAAACAAGAACACTTTTAATGCCAGCAGGGTGCAAACGATCTACGACAGTGGTAAAGACATGACAGTGTGATTAAAAATGCCTCTGTTTTCTGTTCTGTCATTAAAGTTTTGGTTCAAATAATAAGGCATGTATTGTAATGCCTTATCAATTAAAGACTTGTGAAATATTTGATTTATAAAGTTAATATTACGTACTATATATGGTGTAAACTGCATAGACAGACTGTTTATATGAGTTTCAGACTTCACTGTTTCAATGGTACCATACTTGAATCTTGTATTTATTTTTACAGAACGACCAACACTACACTCAGATAATATCACCAGAGAGACATTTAATGTTTCTGAATATAACAATCAACAAAAAACAAGCACACATTCAGGTAATAAAACAACTTTTTTCTCTGTTTGATTGAACTAATGAAGGGATCTGTGTTACATGTCTTTTTATTAAAATTTTCTCTGCTACCAGAATCGTTTGATTATGGAGATCACACCAGGATTATCAATGATGCAGAGGATAAAAATGTCACAGATGGATGGATCAAATTATTACAAGGTCATTAACCTTCAAAACACAAACTTTTTGTGCTGAAATTTAATATCTAATTGATCATTTTCTACTACAGGAGCACTTGGTAAAATGCTAAACAGGGATGCCTTCAATGACAGCAAGGTCAACACTGAAACAACATTTAAAAGTGGTAAAATGTCTTAATTTATTTGATACAATGTACAGAATGCCATATATTTTCAATTTAATTGAATTTGACGCAAATGCGAAATTGCTAACTGGTGCACAGTAATTCCTGTTTAATTGTGGAAAATGTTCATCTTAAATAATGTAATTGCCTTTGCATGTTCATGTCAGTTCACCTATAAAACGTTACGCTCATGAAGAGTCATTGTGTACAGAGTGATATATTTAAAAACAACACAGAAACTTCAAACTGTTTTCTAAACTCTGAGACCATGATTTTCAGAAGTTACATTTAAGTCACAAAAACTGTGACCTAAATGTAAAAAGACGACCACTGAGCAGCTCCACTGCTGCTTATGCATGCTGATCAGTCACACATTTTCCTTCCACTCAACTTTCCATGAAAATGGTTAGATGGTGTGCTCTTCTTTAGCCATTACTTTTTGTATTTGATCCACCTTCTGCAGGATGTGTATTATCATGGTCCTATTTAGAATGTTTTGGGTTTTGGGTTTGTATAAGCTGTAATCGAGACTCATCGGATCAACTTAAAATATCTCATTCTGTGTGTAATGAAACCAGTTTAAATAAATAAATACATTAACTTTTCTCCAATGTGCCCATTTGAGAAATTAGGTAATTTACAATTACCTGTAAATTACCTCATTTACAGGTAATTGTTCTCTGAACTGGATCCTGATCTTTGTTTTTGTTTACAGATCCACCAATGCGAAATGCAGCTAATATCACCAGAGACTCTAATGATGTTTCTGAATTTTACAATCAGATGAAAACACAAGCTGAACCTGGTAAACCGAAAAATGTTTTCTTCCTCCTCTTAGAGTTTTTCCTGGAGGAAATGTGTTAAACTTCTTTCATTGACATTTTATTTATTACCTGAACCATTTCATAAAGGTGTTAGCAATGGGACTTTGAATGATTCAGAGGCAACAAATGCTACAGAAGGATGGGGAAACATGTTAAGTGGTGGGTGAGCTTTGTAAATAAAAAAAATGTCTACTCCTATGTATTTTATTCATATTAAAGTGGTAAAGAATTAATGTTTATATGTCATTTTCTACCGCAGATCCACTTGGCACAGATCAGAAGAAAGACACTTTGAGTGACAGAAGAGACACTAAAACAAGCGATAAAACTGGTAAAATATCCTGATATATTAGATATCAGTGCAGAATAACTAGATAAATTACATTGTAAACAAATACATGTTTATGTAGAAATTCAGTTCCTATTATTGCTATTATCCTAGATAATAGAGTATTCAGAAAACAATTTAAAACAATGGTAGCCCTTTGGTGTTCGCCTTAGTATTTATAACATAGTTGAAGTGTTGGAGCAACTCCATGATTTATAACAATTTACTGTTTCACTGTTGAGTTTATAAAACATGACAGTTTTCTACAGAGCCACAAGTAATTGTATATTTACAGAAATATATAGGTGCATTTAAATATATAAAACATTTGAAATGTCACATTATTTCTGTAAATCAATTTAATTGAACAAATTCAGTATTCGGTCATTAAATAGAATTAGTTTTCCAATCCTCTAAAGCTTGCTATTATCCCTACTGCTTGTCTACTGACCTCTTCTACACTTTTTTCCTTCCACTAAACTTTCTGCCAGCATGGTTGAATACAGTAATCAGTGAACGGCCAGCCTCTTTAGATTTCTGAACTAGAATCCCTTTTCGTTATGTAATCTTCACATTTTCAGTCAAACATTTTGGCTTCCACCAGTTTTCAGACAAAATTAACACCAATAAAAGTTTAAAATATCTTAAGACTTTGTGTAATGAGTTCAGTTATGAAATAAATTAACTTTGGGTGATGTTCTAATTTAGTAAGATGTTCCTGTATATTCATAGATGTTCTTTGATTAAACCTTATCTCTTTTTTTTTTTCTTTTTCAGTACAACCAACACGAGACTCAGCTAATGTCACCACAGATGCTTTTATTGTTTCCGGCTCTCATGAGCGTCCAGATGAAAAGATACAACCTGGTAAACCATCAAGATTTAGGTGCATTTTTCTCTGTTGCTGAGTCAGGAAACATTACGTTGAACTTCTTTCTGTTGAAATGTTTTTAGAGCCAGAGCCGACTGATGCAGGTGAAATGGTGACTGCAGAGAATTCAGAGACACCAATAAAATTATTACACGGTATTTAAACTTCAAAACCTCCTCTTCTTGCAACTTACATTCATTTTAAGATTAAATATGCAAAACAGGTTTTCTATGTCCTGTAGGTCCAGTTGATACCTTCAATGACAGCAGAGGACGGGTCATCACTGAAACAAGCAATAAAACTGGTAAAAACATCTTATAACAGTTAATATCGATGCTGATATTTGAAAAATGTAAGATATTCACGTGGAAATCTTATTTTGTCATATTTGATTTTGACATCAGAGTTGATCCAAATGTTTTTATCCCCTTTAATGTTTTGGAAATTATGGAAACTCAGAAGATAATTTTGTGTTTCACAATAATTTTATTTCTAAATAATTCATTTTCTATTCTTCTAGTGAAGGAAAATCACGTTTTCGGTTTTTAAATTTCTTTTATTTAGCATTTCATGTTGGCTGTGTATCTATTACGGTTAAACTTTGCGTTTCTTTCACAGAAACATCAACACAACATTCAGTTAAGAACACTGAAGGCACCTTAGATGTTTCTGAAAATCCTCCAAATAAAAAATTGGAATCGGGTAAAAAAACAACAAAACAACTCTAATAAATGAAGTTTTGCTTTATACACATCCATCTAAGATGTTAAGCTTTCGTATTTCACTATTTCTAGATCCATTCCCTTTTCAAGATGACAACAATGGGACTCTGAATGATTTGAATGGTGGAAATGCAACATATGTGCCATCAAAACTGTTTCCAGGTCAAACAAATGAATGATTCTATTATTAAAAATTTTTAAAAATATGCCAGGTATTTTGTTAAAATTACTCTAATTAAAGGCAATTTTAATGTTTAGCATTTATTTTTACTCCACAGGATCGAGTGAAACCAACCGAAGCAGCAAAACCTTCACTTCTGACACAGTCATGAATGAAACTAGAGTAAAAAATGGTAAAAAACAAACAAAACATAATTTATTCAGTATACTAAGCTTAAGATTCAGTGTTTACTCCTATCAATAAACAAATATTTTGAATGCAACTTTTGATTTCTTCAGAATCAACAATTGTTGATAAAAAAAATTCTCATGTTAAGAAAAATAAATGTTTATCTACATTCTAGCCATACTGAGAGGTGGATTGTGAAAACTATTAACAGCAGGAGACTGAACTGCCAATTATTTTAATGTTTTTAACACCACAAGTGCTTGTAAATGTGCAGGTTGAGGTGCATAAATGTAAAATCTCATTAAGACTGTTATTTGTTTTCTGGCATTAGTAGTCATCTCTGAGGCATAAAATCTTTATTTTACTCAGCAAAGAGAAAAGCATTTACTTTATTTCTTTTTCTGACAGCTTCACCTTCTGCTGATGACAGTCAGAGAAGAAACTCTTGGAACGGCAGCAGAAACATTGTAGACAAACCAATGAAAAGTGGTGAGAATGTGAAGTAAAAATTGTTATTATTTCTTTTAAGAATCTTATTTGAATTCTTTAGTCATTTATCATTAGTATTGTTCAGTCTGTTAAAACGTGCAGGTCAAGGAGTCTCTGCAGAGTCAGTTAGATAGGTTTCCTTTTGACCTCTCCTTGGAAAAGTTCCAGCAGGCTGTTAGTGACTAAAATAAGGCGCCAGTGTTTGTTAACAGATAACAACAGAAAGTTTAGGTAAATACAGTAAGATGGAAAAAGCCCTAAGGTCTAACAAATTTCTCCGTTGAATGTTAGAAGAGTATGAGAGAGACATTAGGGGCAGGGTTCCATCAAATCCCATTTTGACAGGTCCCCTTTGACCTAACTTCATCATCATCATCATCATCATAACCAGCTGCCTCGGGTAGAACTTCTGGTTCATGCGATTCGGTTTTCAGAATAAAGTTGTTATTAGACGCCTCTGGCGAGCATAAGCCAGGGAGTTCTTTTGTCAGAAATGGAAATCACCCGATCAGAGAGAGAGAGAGAGAGAGAGAGAGAGAGAGAGAGAGAGAGATTGATTTTTAAAAACTCATTTATTCACTCAGTGATGATACACATAACATAAACATTCACCACAATTTCAAATTAACACATTCATAAATGATAATTCAGAATTATTTAAAGTAAATAAAACACCGTCATAATCCCAAATATTTTGAAAAACATTTAGTTCATCCACATTTAAATAATATTTATACTCTAACATCACTCTTGCTCTGACCATACTCTTAAAGAGTTTTGCACAATCAGTATTTTGTTCATTATTAATTTTAAATTTCCTACTCAAATAGATTGCAAGCTTTGATTGACCAAGAAAAAAATTTAACAGTCGTCCAATTTTCTTCTTTTTTTTCCTATATAAGAAACCAAAAATAAAAGACTGTTCTGTAAAGCTTTCTCCAAATAATTTCCAAATTTTTCTTAATAATGTAAATAAATCTATTAACCTAAAACATTGTACAAAACAATGAAAGATTGTTTCTCTTAACGAACAAAAAGGACATTTATCTGACACACCAGGATTAATAATAGAAACAAAAGCATTAACTGCAATAATTCCATGCAAAATTCTCCACTGTAGATCACCAACATTTTTAGTCAATGGTGGTTTATAAAGTAATCCCCATACAGGTTTAAACTCAAAACCGACTTTGAAAAAATCTCTCCAAGGAGTATCTTTTTTATCTTTTAATTTTACTTTGTTCAAAGCCTTTACACATTTCATATATAATATCTTTCCATTCACAGAGTCCAAAAGTGTCCATTCTTTTTTATCTTTCTGTAAAAAGAGTCCAGAACATTCAAGATCTTTCAATTGTGGCTTAACACACAACTTAAAGAATGGATCAGCTTTATCAGGCGTTAAAACGCCATCAAACCATCCTTTTATGAGTCTTTTATCATCTTCTGATAACATCCGCTTAAATGTCGCCAGCATAGTGCCTACAGTTCTTAAAGAGTGAATCTCCAATCTTCGAGCCAAGGAAACAGCATCATTCATTCCAGATCCAACAAGTTCAAGCAGATGTCTCAACGTAACCACCCCTCTTTTCATCAACAGTTCAGGAATCATAACCATGTTGTCCCAAGCTGAACCCAAACGAGATCCCTTGAGCACGGGTTCACGTAACAACCAATGTAAAGATGTGGATGTCCCATCTCTCTTTGTTTCCATGAGGTTCCAAGCTTTTAACACACTCACATAAAACGGTGATAAACACTTTACACAATATTTTGAAAGGTCCATAATGAACAACATTTTACCAAAACCTAAATTACCAACTTTCGAAAAAATAAACTCTGTGACATGCCTCCACAAAACATTTTGATCACCATACAAAAAACTCTGTAAAAACTGTAACCTAAATGCTGCTTTCCGACTTTCTAAATGAATCAAACCTTGCCCTCCTTCTTCCTTTGACAAAAACAAAACACTCTGAGGGACCCAATGTAATCTGTCCCAAAAGAAATTCAAAATGATTGTCTGAAGTTTTACCAGAAGACCTGGTGGGGGTTCTAGAACAGATAAGCGGTGCCACAGAGTTGAAGTTACCAAATTATTAATAATTAGTGTACGACCTCTGTACGAGACTCGTGGCAAAAGCCAGTGCCATTTCTTTAATTTACCCTCCATCAGTTCAAGAAACCTTCCCAATTTTTCATTACTTGAAATTGATCTCCCAGATAAACACCCAAATATTTAAAACCATTTTTCGACCACTTTAATTCATCAGGTAATTTAGGTTCTTGTTTTGTCCATTTACCAACTAACAAAGCTTTACTCTTGCTCCAATTGACTTTGGATGAAGAAATTTTCCCAAAACACTCAATAATTTTGTTTAAAATAAAGACATCTGACTCTTTTGTGATTGCCACAATATCATCCGCATATGCAGAAAGTTTAAAAGGTAAAGATATTTCATTTAAATTCACCCCTGTAACTTTTTCCTGATTTGACATAACAAAGGTTCAATGCTCAAAGAATACAACATTCCTGACATTGCACAACCTTGGCGAATACCTCTCTTTACAATAAAAGGTGCACTTAAACCACCATTGACTTTCAATACACTTTCAATGCCACAATAAAGGGTTTTAATCATGGCAATGAACCCAGAGGAGAAACCAAAAGCCTTCAAACTATTCCATAAATACTGGTGCTCCACTCGATCAAATGCCTTTTCTTGGTCGATAGAAATTAGACCAAAGTTTAAATCCAATAAATTAGAGAGGTCCAAATAATCTCGAATTAAAGTTATGTTGTCTCTTATTGATCTGCCAGGGATGCAATAGGACTGATCAATATGTACAACTTGATCCATCACTTTTTTCAATCTGCATGCCAGAACCTTTGAGAAGATCTTATAGTCTGTACACAAGACTGACCGGTCTCCAGTTCCTTATTTCATAAAGATCACCCTTCTTAGGAAGAAGAGTGAGCACAGCTCTTCGACAACTAAGGGGTAACATTCCCCTTGCCACGCTGTCATTGAGGACTTCCAAGAGATCTTCAGCCAGAACAGGCCAACACGACTTATAAAACTCCACAGGCAAGCCGTCTATTCCTGGAGCTTTGCCATTTTCCATGCTCAGCAGCGCCTCCTGCAGTTCATCCAACGTTATGGCATGCTCCAAAACAACATTGTCATTGTCTGACACCTTTGGCAAGTCTTTAAGAAATTCTTCTGTTATCACAGAGTTTTCTCTGTAATCACTGGCATATAATGTTGAGAAAAAGTCCACAGCTCTTTTCCGCAGGTCAGTAGGATCCGTCAATTCTTTCCCTTCTTCAGATCTTAAGCAATGGATGAAACGATTTTGTCCATTTTTTTTCTCCAAACTGAAGAAGAATTTTGAAGGAGCATCCATTTCAGAGATACTTTGAAAACGTGAACGTACCAGAGCTCCCTGTGCTCTGACCCCAAGCATCAGCCAAAGCAGCTTTTTTTTGTTTGAGCGCCTGAATATGGCCTCGATTTTCTGTGGACTCACAAAAAACCTGAAGTTCCACAATTTCAGTCTCTAATTTTTCAATAGATTTCACCATTTCTCTTGTGACATTGTGAGTGTATTGATTACAAAACTGCTGAATTTTAATTTTACCAATATCCCACCACTGCTGTACAGATGTAAATTGACATTTCATACGTCTCCACTGTTTCCAAAAATACAAAAATCCTTTTTTAAAACAACCATCATTTAACAAAACGGTGTTAAAATGCCAATATGCACTCTTAAGTTTAAAATTATTTATAAACACATTCCCTATGATCATACAATGATCAGAAAAACCCACTGGACACATAGTGCATGATCTAAATATTTGTGACTGATGTCCAAAACAATAAAATCTATCTAACCTTGCCAAAGTTATATAATTCTCTTTATAATGAGCCCAGGAATATTGCCTTATGTTTCCATTTTTAAGACGCCATACATCAGCTAAATCATAAGTTTCAATAATACGTTTCAAAATTCTCCTTGAATGTAAATGTGGCTCCAAATGATTCCTATCTAAATCATCTATTGTACAATTAAAATCACCCCCTAAAATTAAATATTCTGTTGACCCACACTTTAAAAGTGTATTTGCCAACTCTTCTAAGAAAACACAGCGTTCACTTGGATTCACAGGAGCATATACATTTAGTAAAATCAACTTTATATTTTCATATTTAACAATAACTTTTAACAATCTTCCAGATACAACATCTTCAATTTCAATAGACACTGGAAGAAAATTTCTTGAGAAAAGAATAGCTACTCCTGCACTTAGTGAAGTTTTATGACTCAGAACAAGATTTCTATCCCATTCTTTGTTCCAATCAACTTCATTATCAACGTTGCTATGAGTCTCTTGAGCAAAAGCTATGTCAACGCCTTTAGACTTTAAAAGTTCAAAATACACAGCCTTTTTTTCACATCCCTTGCACCATTAAGGTTCAAAGATGATATTTTAAATCTACTCATAATCACATAGAAAAAGATCCAAAGAAACAAGAAAAAACAGCATCTAAACTGCTTTTTAATTTTCATATTACTTAATACGAGCTCTGACTTTTTGCACAAGTTTTCGAAGTCTATATACTTCAGTGTCCCTTAGCCCATCAGAAGTCCTTTGTCTCATTAACCATTTAACTGAGTCAACAAACAATTTTTTATTAGGAAAAAAATCATCTATGACCACATCCCGTTTCCCTTTTGTCACTTCCAAAAACCTTCTAATCTGTTCTAGACTGTAGCCATTAGTACTCTGGCCATCAGGAATAGAGGAATCAGAAGATTCTCTGTCACTATCAGAGTCACAAAAGGTCTCTGAATCACTTTCTTTCCCACTTTTTTCAAACTGACTCTTTTTAGGTTTCACCCCTTTCGGTCCTTTAGATTTTCTTTTAGTGTTTGGCACTTTGAAAACACTTTCATCATCCCTAATCAGACTTCCTTCACTGTGAACTAAATCATCAAAATCCATTTCTTCTTGTAATCCTTCAGGTGTGGTCGTTTGACTCTCTTCAGTTCTTTCAACAGAACTAATGACATCCTCAATGTCACGTTCTGCAACATTTGACAGCTTTTGCTCTCCAGTTGAAACTCCTTCCTCATCATTAATTTCTTGAGCTCCTTCCCCACCGGCAGCTACCGGGTCTCCCTCCCCAGCATCAGCCTCCGGAGCTCCGTCCCCAACTGCGCCCACTGGAGCTCCATTCACCGTATCCGCTGGTGTCATCAGCTCTGGATTTTCGTTAACCTGAACAGTCTCCTTTTGAACCTTTTCAGGGCAGTTTCGGACTGAATGTCCCTCCTGATTACATCCAAAACACCTCATCGTTTCCGTTTGTCGCAAAAATAGTATAATCAAAACCGTCAACCTTAAATTTCATCACTATGCTCAGTTCCTCAATATCATTTTTAAGAATCATAAACACTTGTCTTCTAAAAGACACAACATGTTTCAACTTCGGTGATTTGCAACCGGAAGGGAGCATTTTCATTGCTGACACGATCTGACCGTGACGTGACAATTCCTTCAGTAACACTTCGTCACTAATGAAAGGTGGCAAATTAGACAAGATGATCTTTTTGCAGGGTTTATTAAAGGGAAAACAGTAGTTTGTGTATTTCTCAAAACAATTCCCCTCTCAACTACGCTGTTCACCTTTTCAATTGAGTCCAAAAATAAAACCACTGCATTGTTCATTCTGGACGCTGCTTTCACACTTTCACATCCGACAATTTCCCCAACAGCCAAACCACACTCCTCAACCGAGAAATCCACGCCAACCGGTATTTTAATACCGTGTCTTCGTGAAAGGCTCCTAAAGCCTGCAGAACCATAACTTTTCCCGGCCATCGCACCAAGCTAAAAAGCTTGGTGCAGCCGAAAAAAAACTATCAAACACCAATAAAAACAGAATGTGTTAAAGTGCGAAAAAAAAAGTGAAACACCACTGTGAAAAGTGAAAGTTTAAACCTTTGGAAAACCTCACACTCGTCCTCCTTCCACTCCACACATGCAGCAGCAGACGCTCACGCATGCGCACTCCAGAGAGAGAGAGAGAGAGAGAGAGAGAGAGAGAGAGAGAGTAGAAACGTTAACAAAAAAAAAAAAAAAAAAAAAAAAAAAAAAAAACTCTAGTTTCAGAGCTAAAAACTAGTTATGACAAAAATAAGAAACTCTTACCGGTTCTGCCTGACTCTGAACCAGCCTGCTCCTGAACCCCCGCTATCTCCCTGAGCTCTGCGTCTATAGAACGACAGAAAATTAAGTAATTAAATAATTTTTCTGAAATCGAATATAAACAATAGTTAAATATAAAATACCGCTTATATCATATGGAAGGAAAACGCGGTCTGCGTCTTCACCCGCTGCATCTACAGAAAATAAAAACAATAAACTATTGAGATAGAAAACATTTTAAAAAAACTCTAGTTTCAGAGCTAAAAACTAGTTATAACAAAAATAAGAAACTCTTACCGGTTCTGCCTGACTCTAAAGCAGCAGCAGCAGTCTCCTGGCTCTCTGCGTCTATAGAACGACAGAAAATTAATTAATTAATTAATTAAATAATTTTCTGAAATCGAATATAAACAATAGTTAAATATAAAATACCGCTTATATCATCATAGCGAGGAAAAACGCGGTCTGCGTCTTCACCCGCTGCATCTACAGAAAATAAAAACAATAAACTATTCAGATAGAAAACATAAAAAAAAAAAAAAACTCTAGTTTCAGAGCTAAAAACTAGTTATAACAAAAATAAGAAACTCTTACCGGTTCTGACTGACTCTAAAGCAGTAGTCTCCTGTATCTCCTCTATCTCCCTGAGCTCTGCGTCTATAGAACGACAGAAAATTAATTAATTAATTAAATAATTTTCTGAAATCGAATATAAACAATAGTTAAATATAAAATACCGCTTATATCAGATGGAAGAAAAACGCGGCCTGCGGGGAATTAGGTCAAAGGGGACCTGTCAAAATGGGATTTGATGGAACCCTGCCCTAATGTCTCTCTAGTATGTACGAGGTCTTACAATGTTTTTGGTACAGAAAATTGTTCCATTAGCATCCTAATTTTTGGAAACTCCCATATTTTGAACAAGTAGATGTTTGTCAACTAAATAATTAACTGACCTTTCAGTAAGGAGAGATGCATCCTGTCCACTACTGACTGTGCATCAAACCTGTTCACCTGGCTCTGGGCCAGGGAGTGACCACATTGTATAGAGAGTCCTATATATAGTAAGAGCTTGCAGCTCCAAGTCAGAACCCATTGTAGGTACAGCTGTTGTGTTGTGGTTGCTCTGTGTTCTCCGTTTGCAAACGACTGAAATAAAGATTTTTGCTCTTTGCCATTTGCCAGAGTCTCAAGCCTGATCTGTTACTACAGATCAGATATTTTTTTCACACAAGAATTTTGTAATTTTTTTTTGCATAAATTGTTTGAAAGATACTTTTTTTCCTTTAAAACAGGTATTCATTCATTTCTCAAGCTCTTGAATGTTAAATCTAACACAGCTAAAGCATAACTTTACATTATGTTAATGTGGATTTCCATTTCTTCCCCTTCTCAGAGTCTTCCCAACGTGTCCCAGCCTACAAGAAAAACAACGAAACTGACAATGAAAAAATTACAAAAACAGGTAAAAACTATTTATTGAAATAATCTTAAATAAATAATCTTTTTCTATGCATTCTGCAAGAAAAAAACTAGACCTTTCCTAAAAGTTATAAATTTATTCATAACATATTTTACTCAGATTATATTTCAGCTGGCTGCTACTAATTAAAAATTGGTATAAATCCAGCTATAAATTAAACAATTTAAATCTACACTGTGTTTTTTTAGTGTCACCTTTTTGCATTATTTTATTTAGGTTGCAGTATTAAAGCCATCAAATGTTCAGAAAAGTCTACTAACATGCAATTCACCTACGGTGCCTGGATGTCGGATGCATCCCAGACTAATGATCGGATCTGGGTGGCAGAACATTTTTCAGGTCATATATTCAGAGTTTATTTCCTTTGATTGAAGTGTCATTCCCTGCATTAACAAAGGAACTTTTACTTCAACAGGTCGTGAATTGAAGCAGTTGAAGAACATTTCAATGCTTCCGGACACCAAGCAGAAATTTCTAGATATTGAGAAGTACTACCAAGGCTGTGGTCATGTTGTTTACAAGAATTCATTTTACTTCCACAGTGGAGGAACAAATAATCTTTTGAAGTAAGTGTTTTAATTTTAATTGCGTTTTCTTTTTCTGACTTGAACATCTTAGATTTAATGTACCATGCAAAAGTTGTCATTCATCTTGAACTCTCCTGCAACTTGTCTCTTTCAACACACATTTAACTGTTGCAAGACACCAGCCCTCAAAGCATAATCATGAGTTAAAGTGGCCTAGTCAAAGTCTGACTCTAAATTCAATCAAGAATTTGAGGCAAGACTTGAAAACTGATATTCTCCATCCAGAATGAGTCAGATATAGGTATTTTCCAAAGTAATAGACACAAAAGGCTTGCAGTTAAGTGGAGAAAAATGTAGTTATTATATAGAGTATATGGGGGAATATATACATATATTAAAAGTGTGCATGCCACACTTTTAAAATGCTCAATTTCACTTTTATGTGCTATTTTGGTTATCAAATAAAATACATAAAAATACATTGAAATGTATGGTTGAAACTTGAGAAAACATGAAAAGGTTCAAGTAGTATGAATATTTTTTTTGTAAGCCACTGTTATCTCTTTCGGCTTTCTATAATCTAACCGTTATCAAATACTTTTGTTCGACAGGTTTACCCTGAACACAAAGAATACAAGCACCCTGGAAATGCCAAACAGCAGATATAATGGCCTGAGATATCTTTTCCACAACTCAAAGACTTATTTCAAGTTTGCCGTGGATGAAAATGGACTGTGGGTCATCTTTGCCTCGTATATAGACAATAACATGATGGTGGCAAAACTCGACCCAGACGCTTTTTCTGTGCAGTCCATAATTAACACTGACTATCCTTCAGCAAAAGCAGGAAATGCTTTCATTGTGTGTGGGGTGGTGTATATTACCGATAACAGCGACAAGCGTGTGACATATGCCTTTGATTTGATGACACAGAGTCATCTGGATGCAAGTTTTGATTTAAGGGCAGGAGACGGTACCTTAGCTATGCTGTCCTATTATCCCAACAAAAGACTGTTGTACATGTGGGACAACAAAAGTGCGAGAACATGTAAGATTAAATTCAAGAATACCTAAAAAAGTCTTACAAGTTCCCTATTTTTGTAAAAGTGCTTTAAAAACAAAATCCTTCATTTTTTTCTGTCTTGCAATAAATATGACTGTTGAAATGTTGAGCTGTTTGCTGACATTAGCTCACTGATAGCGACATTAAGCACAACCAGATACTCACAAAAATGTCACAACAAGGTTTGTTGAAACTGAAAGAGTTCTTAAGCATAAACAAGATCAAATTAGAATTTGAGAAGTATTTAAAACAAAAATATGATAAAAGCACAAATGAATCAGAACAAAAATGGAGATAGATTTATAGAAGAATAGAGTAGATGTTTGTAACTGTCACATTTCTCTCCAAAAAAGGTATTGGAGTAAATGTAACTGATTAAATAGAATTCACTGTTTTTCTCTCAATGGAGACCAAAATGTTTAAACTTCAGCAGTGTGATTCTTTTTGTCCCACTTCTATAAAGACCTGATTTCTGGAGCATATAAACATCAAATAAAATAAAAAATGAAACTGTGTTTTCTTTCTTTCTGACTTCATAGTAATAGAAACATTGTTTTAGTCAAGCCTTCAGGTTTGTGCTTGTAGTAAAATGTCAAAATGTTCAAGCAGTAAGAACACTTATGCAAGGCTCTGATGTCCATTTCGTAACTGAAACAAATTTAATTCAAAATAACTCGAGCCATATTAGAAAACCATAGAAAATGTATACTACTTTTTAAACATGGTTAAAAGTCATTTCAAAAAGCTTGCACAATAAGTTACATAATTGTTTTGGATACTAATTTTTTCAAGTTGACTTAAATGCAACACTATTTCACAATCCGCTTGCAATGGCTTCTATTCCGAGGTGTTCCTGAATGCCTCAGTGACCGTCCTGTACTTTAGTAGATCTCAATGTATGCGGATGGTATGAACTAAGTAGACATCGGCGGAACCTCCATGTTGCTGTGTCCCATTCACATGGTTTAATCTGTTCCAGTTAACTGTCGTTCCTATAGGGGAGGCTAGGTGGTTAGCTGGACGTAACCTAGTTTATAACAGAAGGCGTTACATCACTTTAGGTCGTGTCCCACCTGGGAAATAACGATCTAAAGGAAGCTAACGCTTCATAATTAATATAATAACGTAATTAATAAAAAAGAGAGAGACAGCCCGAGTGACTTTGCAAATTTGTTGTTGTTTTTAGAGGAGGCTGTCCAAACGCGACTAGTTTCAACGGGCATTGTAAGTAAAACCTGCACGCTTTTAGTTGTACACCTTGTAATATGATACAGTTAAGCTACAATAGTTGTTTAGCACAGTGAAAAAGCTTCTCCGTGTGTTCATCGGTGGCTCTTTCTCATTTCTCCTGGCCGTGTCACGCTGGGGCCTAGCTAAAGCAGCTAACAGCGACCTATCACTGTTTATTTGACATGTCCTCGTCTGAACTGGAGTTTAGACAGCATAGCCATTTTTGGAACCCATTACGTTTATAAAAGACTCGTTTTTAATTTAATGAGCATTAGTAATTTCTTCATTTTGCTGTCAGGCGAGCCGCTTCGCTAATGCTAATAGTTAACGTTAGGAATAAATGGATCTTAGGTGTTATGTCAATTTTTGTGGCCTGTCCTCGAATTATCGCTCTGCAGGTGTTTATATAGCTGTCTTTAGACAAGCCGGTTCAATTTTCTTCACTTTGGATATTTGTCATGCTGCATTATATTTTAATGCTAAACCCCCGAAAATACACTAAAATACGAATGAGAAGCTGTTAATTGAATATAACGTTATTATTAAACTGAAGTGGATACAACTTGTACAGTTGACTATTTCAGTACAATGCATTTCAGTAGCTCTTATTTATTGTCTTTAAATTTCAGTGCATATTAATTCATATTAAATTATACAGTGAAATATATTAGATTTACATTTGACTTCATACCACCACAATAAAGTTGATATCATCGACTAAAACAATTGCCACCGAGTTTTAAGTTTGATCCCCAGTTAAAAATATGAAATATTTAGAATGGTCAAATTTGAACTGGATTATTTTGAATACCTTTCACACTGTGTCAAAAATGATTAACTCGTTGAGTATTTATTTATAATATTAAATGTCATAACAGTTACATTACATTGATGCTTTCCCCCCAACTTCTTCACATTAGATGAGGACCAGATTAAAAAGTACAATAGCAAGTTTCGGGAAACTGGAATAGAATTATTTTACATTCATGCAAGATCTTAAAAAATAGTTTTGTGACTTAAATAGATACACTTCATTGTATGTATTTAAATCTCAATATTCCAATTTTAACAGCCTTTTAGCTTCTTCATCATGTTAGATGATCTAGGCCTCAGTGTAAACCCCACAGCAGGTTAAATAAAGGCAGAATTATGGATCCTGTAAAATACAATTTGTGATTTATGAAGGTTTTATTTACGCTGAACCACCTAGATCTTAAGTTTAATTTTTCATGACTCACAAACTTTGTATATTTTGTAACATTAATTGCTAGGTAGTGCAGTTTTCAAAATGAACTCTTTTTAAGGTGGTTTCCAGCTAAAAAGCATAAAAATCCATCGTATTTTAGATGGATTTTTTCACAGACTATCTTTTATATAATCTGTTGATAGTGTAAATTATTTGTAACTGAGTTAGAGGTTTGTAGACAATAGTTTTTGAACTAGTTCCCATTTTAAGGCCTCCAGCAAAAAGCCCCCAAATTTCTTATTTCTTATTTTCTGTTTATATTCATTTACATAAATGTTTCAGAAATTGTAGAATATGCAATGTCTATCAAGTTTAACTCAAACTAGAGATGATCTAGTCAAATTGTTTTTCATGTTTATATTATAAAATGTTACATTTCCCTCTCAGTGCATAATTGTTCATATGTAGTGAAATCTGAAGTGAAATTCTGGTGCTGGGTTGTGGTCATTTCCAATCTGGTTTTTAAAATCAGACAGAACATGGGCGAACACACGCCTTCGTTGCTTTCTGTTGGTATATGTTAACCTTCGGCTAAGTAGATTTGTGTTTCTCTGCTTTGTGTCAATTTAATCTTAATTTTCAGGGTTTCAGACAGAAGAAAACATGTCCTGTCCATGCACCTCGGCTGCCAGGTTGTTCCTAAACTCTGCCCACAGAGGTAAGAAAGGGAAAGTCCACATACTGCCAACCAAAGGTTCTTGACACTTTGCTATTTGCTTTAGCTAACCTAGATTACTATTTGTTATGATAGTTGCGTTGGTAATGTCAACAGCAGCTGTAACAGTTTCTTGAGTAGCTGGGACGCTAAAGATAGTAACGGTGGCACTTACAGCAAAAAAAAAAAAAAAAAACCTGAGCATTTATTTATGAAGTTTTGTATTGGTTTAGCTAACACATTCCCCACTCAAATTATATCATAATAAGTTGTAGTTTTTTAAGATTTATGTGAAAATTTGAGCTACTTTTTATATTCATTTTTCTAGCCTTTCATTATGGTCACATGTGAAAAATTGTAAATATGTAAATTCATCTGATCGACAGAATATAATTATAAACACATACCTGTTGTTATTTGATTTCCGTAAATTGTTTGGACCTTATAACTCATACAAAGTATGAGACACTATTATCTCTGATTAAACCAAAATGAGATCTGAGTAACCGCTGAATTCAATGTGACATAACCACAGAACACTAAAGATGTCAAAGCTGGTACAAAATGTCTCTGAGAGAGGCATCAGAGTTGGTACAAAATGTTTTGTGGTAGATGGCTCATTTTTGTACTGAACAAAGGAAAATTTATGCAAAAATGAACAAAACTGCAAATGTTCAAAATAGCAAAGGGATAAAATGACCAACGTTTGTGTTTAGGAAGGGGTTTTGGTGTATAGTCTTATGTTTTCTCATTTTTAACACTTGTAAAATGTACATTTTATAGTCTTCTGTCCTATTTGGTCAACAGACAGTTTTCCTGTTAGAAATCTGATTGAGTGTTTCTTGTCTTTCAGGGTTGTCGTGTTCCCGATTCCAGCTGTTCTCCCTGAGTCGTCGGGGGTCTCGGGAAGCACATTTTCATCCACGTGTGTGTGTGAGGTCATTCTCAGAAGCGGCCGTCTGTTACGCTGCTAAAGATGGGACTACAAAGGACAGTGGGAGTGACAGCGGAAAGGTAAACTCCCTTCCATTTCTATCTGTTGTTCGGTCTAAAAATTAATACAATCAAGATGATGGACTAATTATGAGTTCTTTCATTTTATGCGTCTTAATTTTACAGAAAAGTGTCAGTGATGGGAAGAGGATGTCTGGCTCTGGAGGGTCAGGAAAAGGTGGAAGCCAACTACGCTGCCCCAAATGTGGAGACCCCTGCACGCATGTAGAGACCTTTGTATGTAAGTCGACCCGGTCCTCTTCACAAACCATCTAGGAGAAACAGAGGGTGTGCAGAAAATGTTTAAAACTACGTGAAAGTCAGATTATTATTTGTTCAATACATTTCTGTAGCCAGTACAAGCAGTAACATGATTGAGCATTGATCTATGATTTCAAAACATTGCTCATTTTTAGCAATGTTTTGATGAAAACGAGACTACAGAGACAAATGAAAAGATTTTAAAATAAGCCCCAAAATATGTTGAAATATTGTCGTTAGTTGTTCATGTTGTCACCATACATAAATGTGTGACAAAATAAATATTTTGGGTTTTAATTTGTCCACATTCTGTCTGTGTTACATAACTCTGTACTTTTGTTTTGAAGCGTTCACACCAGCTCTCACTCCTTCCTGTAGTCTAAACGGTGGACTGGATTCGATAAACACAAGTGCAAACACAGCGTTTAAATGAGCACCACAAACAACCAGGAACTGTGTGGATTGTACTGTTTTCTGTTGGTTATTTTCTGCTTTTTTTTTTTTTTGTAAGTGACCTAATTATCTCCTACTAGTTAAAACCTCTGAGACATCCTGACATTTTTTTAAATTGAGATTCTGCATGTTGCAGACTTGGATTGTTCGATTTTAATAAATGACTGGGCAAACTCTGAGGCTCCACATCCATATTTCACTCAACTCTTTTTCTTGTGATTAACACCACTTTCCTTTGAGTCAAAACATTACTTTTGATGTTTATTTTAGTAACAAACTGCAGATATAAATTTGTGGCTACAAGTATAAAGCTCGGGAAAAAAATGAAGAGCCCACTGTTCTGACTAACATTGAAAACCTCCTGGTCATTCCAGCAAATATTAATTTCTGAACTAAGTTAAAACATTAGCATTGCTGTTCCTAAATTAATAGGAACTTGTTTTCTGAAAGTACTGCAACTTTTTGTTATTTTGACCACAAATAAATACAAAATTTTTGCTTGGAATTTCAGAGACATGTTGTCAGTAGTTCATAGAATAAAAGAACAATGTTCATTTTACTCAAACATTTACCTATAAAAAGTAAAATCAGAGAAACTGATCATTTAAAGTGGTCTATTTTTTTTTCCGGAGCTGTATATGTAATTATTTTCATTTTATATGCATATTCTTCAAATAAAACTTTGTAGGACAAATTTATGAACTGACATGGATTTTATTTTCTTTAAAAATGCTTGTATTTTTTTTTTCTTTTGTAGCATCAACACGGTTTGTGAAATGTGAGAAGTGTCATCACTTTTTCGTGGTCTTGTCGGAAACGGACTCTAAAAAAGGGCTGAGCAAAGAGGCCGAATCAGAAGCCGAGTTGGTGAGACGGGCTTTTGCGCAGAAACCGCCTCCGCCTCCCAAGAAGGTAAAAGTTGTGTCAAAATAATTTCAAATGTTTTGACATTTTGGGCAGTGTCATTTTATTTATCAATTTTTTTTGTATTTTTAGATTTATGCCTATCTGGACAAGTATGTTGTTGGCCAGTCGTATGCAAAGAAGGTCTTGGCAGTGGCCGTGTATAATCACTACAAGCGCATTTACAACAACATCCCTGCGGGCAGCCGACAGCAGGTGGAGGTGGAGAAGCAGCCATCTTTAACGCCACGAGGTCAGCACACTATGCACTACTGGCTAAACAAATAGATATTCTCCAATGTGTATTTTGTTGTGTACTCTGTAGTGAGAATGCAAACCTTGCAGTCTTTGCCAACATCATAGGACGATAAGAGTAAGCGAGGTGATGGTTTACTGTGTTGGAACAATTATATTTAGTTCCAAACTCACCACATCCTGTCAAGTATCACTACCTGTACTGTACACTGTAACCAATATTAACATTTTCTGTTTATTTTATCCATATCACAAAGATAGTTTTAGGGGTTCTGAAATAGTTGCTAATTACAGTAGTGATGCAATATATATGTATATATCTGACAAAATGTACTGTTCATGATTAGATGTCTGTTTGGAGAATGAATTAATACAGAAATATGACTATAAAATAAGTAAATTATTCTAGTATGAGTAAATGATGAGGAGAAGTGGGCTGACATAACGCTATCTAGTAGAGCAATGACTTAATTTGAACAAAAATACCTCATAAAAATCCTTACTACATGAAAGATTGCTTGTCTTATTGTTTATTTCTAAAGACTTTTAAAGTTGAAAAGCATCAGAGATGATGTCAGACCTGTTAAATGTTGATATTTTAATTACTTTTTGGTCAGATAACTGTATTTCTATATAGATTTATCAGTATTAGAGGTGTAACAATGCCTAAAACCGTGAAGACATAATACTGAGTTTACGAGAGCAAGACAGGATGAAGTATTAATTTCAAGAAACCCTCAAAGGTCAAATTTAGGCTGCAATAAAGGCCTTTATTCTACATTTTATTGATTTTTGCCACAAATTCAATAAGCTGCCTTGCTTTATCTCATTTCTTTTGATCTCTTGGGGCGTTAGTACAGTTCTTCAGCTGTGCATGGTCTGCAATGCAACTGTGATTGATGTTTTCTTATTATCCTAATAGGCATTATAAGTATTAAGTATCAAAGAAAATTTATTGAAAAAGAAACTTCTCATTTCAGATTATTTATTCATTTGGGAAATAACTGTCTGTGAGAAACCGCTTTCTCTCAAAACTGTAATTTTTCAAATAAAAAAAAGCATCGAAATGCTAAATTGTATGGTAAATCTAGTTATTGTAGCAACTTTACATTTGAAATAGCTTAACGGGGCATTTCTATGGAATGTTTTCAAAAAGATTCAGGATTTGCAGGATTTTTCTTTATCCACACTATTTACAAACTCAGACTTTGAATACGTCAAGAGTCTCCTCTGCGTCACACAAATGACTGATGGTCTGAATAATGGGGTCACCATGAATCTGTATTATTTGGCATTTGTTCAATAATCTCTATTGATAATGTTGTAGTGGTAATGCTAAGTGGTATTGTTGATTTAAGTACTTTGATCCTCTCCTTGTAGAGCTAGAGATGAGAAGACGAGAGGATGAATACAGATTCACAAGTAAGTCACTGACCTCCTCATCGTTATCTGACGGACTTTCTTACCGTTATCAGAAGTAACTTAAAGTCACAACACTTTATCTGCAGGTTTCTGGGTTTTATGCTTCTGTCTGTTGTGCAAATGCCAAAATGTACAGACAACAGCGAGTTTCCTTTTTCACAGAAGTAGTTACAATAATTATGTTTGGGTTAATCTATTAATCTAATCTATTGAAACATAATTAGAAATTCTGGTGCGTTTCAATAAAATGGTTTAATCGAAGTTAATTCAGTAATTTATGCAAAAAAGGGAAAATAATGTATATATTCATTACAAGAATGATATAATTTAAGAATTTAATTTGAATGATTTGCCATGGTTTACTAAACAATTCTGTTTCTTGTGCATTTGAACTGTTTGTCATCTGCACCACACACGAGGAGGAAAAGGTGTTCAGGGAGTGCTCTATCCAGGCATTTACATGGAAAGTTGAGTGGAAGGAAAAAATGTAATCAATCAAGAAGCAAACCAAAGCCTCAAGAAGATTTTGAAGCAAATCCTTAATCAATAGTTTGTGGAAGAGTTCAACTGGAGTCAGAGGTTCAGCTCACATGTATCCAGAATATGAGCTACAGTCGTCACTCCCCTCTGTTAAGCCACTTCTGAGCCAGAAACATCAGAAGTGTTTTCTTGGGCTAAGAAGAAAAATGTGTTTTTTTTTTATCTCTTTTTTTAAATAAACTGTCACTAAATAGTCTGGTACTGATCTCATCTGCTGTCCCTTTTCCAGGTCGTCACTCTTAAGGTCTTTTAGAAATCGAGTTGATCCTGGCATAAGGGAACCAGCTTCCTTTGTTTGTCAGTATTTTATGGATGTTGGGCAAATACAAATTATTATTTATTCAATGGATTCATAATCTATTTTTTCCTGCGTTGTGATATGAATATATATTTCTTGTAATTCAGAATGATACTCAGCATTATTATAGATCGATGATCCCTTTTGTGAACTTTTATTGGAACAATTATTGGAAATTGGAAACAATTATTCTTGAAATATTTGAATTTTTTTTTTAACTCACCTTACTTTAATACCTTTGACAATGCAGATTTCTTTAGAAGCATTTTTTTTGCTCGATACAATCTAGAATGTACATTTTTTACATCCGATTAAATACATCTTAGTGAGAGTGAAATAATTACAGAGAAACATTTGAACTCTCTTTCAATGCCCTCACTTAACCCAAGAAAACGATCCACAGTGCTTTGGTTAGCGGGTCAGTGCCACAGACGTGTAACCTACATTCAGTCTTGCTATTTTCAGTCAAGCTGCGTGTAGCAACTCCTCTGGAACCGACCCAACTCGTGTATTTTTACCTCACACATGCTCAAATTGCTCCTTCAATCAAGCTGCGTCACACGCCATTGTTTAATTACCAATTGCACAGCAGTGACTTTTTGCACAGCAGTGACTTTTTGCACCGCAGCCGTCGTGCTAACCCAGGTGACCGGTTTGTATTTGCAGAACTGCTGCAGATCGCAGGGATCAGTCCCCACGGTAACGCTCTGGGCGCCACCATGCAGCAGCAGGCGAGCCAGCAGCCGCCTCAGGAGAAGAGGGGCGGCGAAGTCCTGGACTCTACTCACGCTGAGATTAAACTGGAGAAAAGCAACATTATACTCCTTGGTCCTACCGGTTCAGGTTGGTGATTTGGCAAACAATTCCCAGGATGTAACACACTTGCATGACAGATGTGTCTTGTGAAATGCAGTTAAGGTTTTGGTTCAAGTTAGTAATGACTTTTTTTTTTTATTTCTAAGGAAAAACATTGCTGGCGCAGACGCTGGCCCGCTGTCTTGACGTTCCGTTTGCGATTTGCGACTGCACCACCCTCACTCAAGCTGGATATGTGGGCGAGGACATCGAGTCAGTCATTGCCAAACTTCTGCAGGATGCCAACTACTCAGTGGAGAAAGCACAGCAAGGTGGGCACTGGGGCTATATTCAACAGCACAGTCATTTCCAGATATAACGCGTGTTAAATAAGACGGGTGTGTGGAAATGTTTCTAATTATAGCAGACCTGATATGATAGCATGGTTGGAATACTTAGAGATTTGTAGCTATTTCTATGAGAGCATTGCTAAATACCAGAAATAACTTTTATTGTTTTCCATGTCTTGAAATCAAATATTTGTTTTTCATTTTTAAAAACAAAAACTTACTAACTTCAAGTACTTTTTTTCTGTTTTTGTGTGTTTGTTACAAGATTTGCTTTGTATCTAAAATACGACAATAATCTCATTTGCCACATCACATCAATTTTAACATTTTACTTTTTTTGTTTTAAATTATTTATTCACCAATTAGTGTACATACAATGAACATTACAGACTACAAGAAAGCAAAAAGGGGTATTGATCTCCAAAATAATCAGATAATAGAACAAACAACAACAAAAAAAAACAAACAAACAAGGAAGTAAACATTAAATTGGACAAAACACAACAAAAACAATGAAATTGTTTAACATTTGTGTATTAGGATATACTTTTTTCTTTGTCTGTTTTGTTTTCTGACCTGTTGACAAATTGGATGCTCATTCAGAAATAAAAATGGAGCATTTCAGTAAGTAAAGTAAGACGGTTTAGAAACCTTTAAAAAATGTTTTGCATTTGAACCAAAGCAGACATTTGATTGAGCCTTCAGTATGTTATGTCAACTGTCTGAACAAAAATAATAAACAGACCTAATATGCTTTAATGGCAGGAACTATTACATAACAATAAGACGTTAATCCAGTCCTGTCCTCCTCTGTGATGTGCAGGTATTGTGTTCCTGGATGAAGTTGATAAGATTGGCAGCGTTCCCGGGATCCATCAGCTGAGAGATGTGGGAGGAGAGGGAGTTCAGCAGGTCAGTGTTTTCATCCATAAACCTAAAACAGCCTGCAGCTGTTAAGTTTATTAGTTTAGGTATTTGATGAATTTTAAAAATGTAATTCTGCTCGTTGTATGCTATTTATAATCAGATTTTACATAATTCCCTTGTTGAAACTGGAGCACTAAGGAGAATATATTATCTGTAAACCCATAATTTGAGATGTTTCTGTCAGAAATCCATTTTGTCAAGAAAACATTTCTTGAAAAAGTACTGATGTTCCAGAAAAAGCATTTATTTATGGAACGTTAACCAAGGATTCTTATAGATCAAACACAGTTATGAATTCAAACTAAAACCAAAACACAGAATGAATATGATTTATCTTTTGTACAATAATGTTTCTTCTTTTTGCTTTGTTAGATGACATTTTTCTTTTACCTTTTCTATGTCAGGGTTTGCTGAAACTCCTGGAGGGTACAATCGTCAACGTTCCAGAGAAAAACTCCAGGAAGCTGAGAGGCGAAACGGTGCAGGTCGACACAACCAACATCCTGTTCGTTGCTTCAGGAGCCTTCAACGGCCTGGACAGGATAATAAGCCGAAGAAAGAACGAAAAGGTAAATTTAACTCCTCTAAAACACAGCAAGACTTTGTTCAATCTCTGATCAACACTCTTGTCTCTGCTGTTTAGTATTTAGGATTTGGAACGCCCTCTAACTTGGGGAAAGGTCGCCGGGCGGCCGCTGCAGCAGACCTGGCCAACACTAGCGGCGAGACGGACGCTGTCGCGGAGATCGAGGAGAAGGACCGGCTGCTGAAGCACGTGGAGGCGAGGGACCTGATCGAGTTCGGCATGATTCCAGAGTTTGTCGGCCGTCTTCCTGTTGTCGTTCCTTTGCACAGCCTGGATGAGGACACTCTGGTCCGAATCTTGACTGAACCACGAAACGCTGTGGTTCCACAGTACCAGGCTCTGTTCAGCATGGACAAAGTAAGCATGGCTCTGTAATTGCTTATGCAGAGTTGCTTTAGGAAAGTAGCAGCCTAATCAATGTCTCTGTTTTGTTTTTTAGTGTGAACTTAATGTGACCCCGGATGCCTTGAGAGCCATCGCCAGATTGGCTTTGGAGAGGAAAACTGGAGCTCGTGGCCTCAGATCCATTATGGTTTGTTGTTTTCAAACGAAATGTTACACATTATCCTTTAGTGATTTCAGTCATGTGTGTATTAACATATGATTGCCATGCAGGAGAAACTTCTTCTTGAGCCCATGTTTGAGGTGCCTCACTCAGATATCGGTGCTGTTGAACTGGACAAAGATGTCGTTCAGGGAAAAACGCAGCCTAGATACATCCGGTCAGTATTCCCATGCTCACACAATGATAAACATGTTAGACAGCCTCGCAAATAACCCATAACATTGTTTGGTTGCAAAAGAATTCTTAAATAAAGCTAATCTTTTACTTGCTTTTGCAAAGCAGCTTTGGATATTGTTTTATAATTTAACGTTGCGTCTCATAATGTTTCCTGTTCTTCATTATTCTGTCTGTTCACTAATGTTCTCTAACTGACCTCTGACCTTCGCAAGTCTTTTCTACTAATGAATTACTTACTGGACTCCATCTTCTAACTATGACTTCTAAAGGCGTCATACTTTTCAAATATTTATTTTTAACCTTTTCCTTTGAATTTATAACTGTGTTTCTCACATTAAATACATTCAAATTGAAGAAGTAAAAAGTTTTTTTTCAAGGCGCGTTGCTGGTGATCAGATTTATTAAGTGTTACAAGGTCCCAGTTGGCACAGTGACGGCAGTAACAAAAGGAATATTTGAAAAATAAATGAGATCATAATTGTAATGTTTCTGGGGAAATGTTGTGTTTTAATAAGTTTATACTGTTTTATAACATTCATTAATCCTTAAAAATACACAAAAAATTAAGTGGGATTATTATTGTAACTTTTAAACTTATTTTGTCACAAAAAGTAATAAATAACTTAATCCCATGATAAATTGAAACAAGCTTGATGATTTCTAATTGTTTCCAAAGATTTAAGTGTCCATTTAATCTGTTGTTTTCTTTCTTTATTTTGGATATTTAAAATGTCTTCCAGTTCCAGTTTGAAATGAGTTTATACTGCTTGAAAATGATCTCAAAACAACAATATTATCATTTATCGCAACACAGTTGGGACAGTTTATCGCTCAGAGAAATGAGTTATGGTGACAGAATATTCTGCTTGGATTTCAGAACCCCCGCCAAGGATTCGGCAGAGGAGGAGTACGACTCCGGCATCGAGGAGGAGAACTGGCCCCGGCAAGCTGACGCTGCTAACAACTGAACCATGTCTCTCATTTCACCTGAAATCATTAGGTTACCATGAACCTCCTGGATACCTCGTTTGGTACCAGACCTGTTTTTATTACTGCACCCGACAAATAAAAAGCGTGGACACTGCGGATGTTTTCATGATGAACAAGTGAAGGGAGCGTAACAACCTTTGATCTCTTTGCATCGGATAATAAATTTCTAGCGGTGCACTCAGTGTGGACCTTTTATGATATATTTCAATCTCTGGGGATTGTTAACATTTTATCTATATAAAGATAATATGATTTTATTCATAAAAAAAAATTGTAGGTAGTTTGTATCCTCTTTTTGTGCTGATTGGCTGTAGCAGGAAGGGAAGCAAAGGGCATATATGGGATCACATTGTAACTTGAATGAGGGTAGACGTGATAGAGAAATGCCTTAAATCACAAAGGGCATGATATTTCACAAACACATCAATATGATGATGTTTCTTCCTGTAACACCATTGTGATAATGGTACCCAAAGTGGAAAGAGTTGTAAATGTTAAGCTATGCTGCACGCGTATTGTTTGTAAGCGGTTTGTAAGACATCACCTAGAGTTAGGAGACCATATTGAGGTAGAAACACACCAGCATATTAAAGATGCTCCCATCCTGCAGCCGTCTGCTCACCTGGATTCACAGAGCAGACTGAAATTTGTCCCTTTCTAAAGTGATAAAACATCCCTTCTGCTTTCTGGTCTGTATCGAGAAACATTAAAGTAAATCACACCAACATAGGTTTTGGTTTTAATTTGCTAATCATTCAGAGATCTTAACAAAGCTCCTTCTGCAGAGCTGCTTATACTTTCCTTTATGTGTGCACCTAGGTCAGAATCACTTCCTGTGATGTCACTTCCTGATGCTAGATGGTACCTTGGTGCACTTTTTCAGTCAAGATGTCACCATGCTGCTGTGCTCTTTACCTTTAAACTTAAACTAGATCTGTTCCCTTTTTGATTCAAGTTTTTTTTCTTCTTTCTGTGAAGCTCTAAGTTGGTAAATTTCAGAGGTCTGTTACAGAAATTCAAGGAAAACTTACCTCCCTAAAAACTTTTGAATCCTAAATTTATTGTAATTGTGTAAAATATATAAATAAAATCTATCTCTGTGTACAGAGTTTTATTTTATTTTTTACCTCTGAAGTGGAAATGAATATGAGTCGGGGCGAACATCTCCACATGGATATGATCTTGCGCTGCGGCTGTCGGCTTTATGTAACCGGCTAATCTCTGGAAAGTTTCATGCTGCGCCTTTGTTTCCTGACATCAGCGTTTCTGTAATCCTGCCCCATTTAAATCCACATGAAAATGACATGAAAAGTCACAATATCATTTTAAATATATGCAAAATTGCTTAAATCAATTAAATAATTTCATTTTTTTACATTACAAATGTTTTAAAAAAAAAGAATTTAGATTAAACTATGATGATTTTACATATGTGCGATATTAAAAGTAGTTATTTATGGTAGGTGCTTGCATGATGGATTATACCAAGCATCTGAGATGGTAAACAAAGTGATGATGTCAGAGGCTTAGTGATGAAGAGGTTTATCCCTGCAGACACCTGTGTGTGACTCAGACCGCTCCAGAACTGCAAGACAGCACCTGGCAAAGGTAAGAAATTATTTTAAGCCAAAAAAAAAAAAAAAAAGGCCTGTAACCAGAAATATTCAAACTCTTTGTGACTCTCCTCACGCAGGTGATTTGTTGGTGTGTTCTTGGTGATGATGAATATTCTGGAGGACGTTCCTTTCCAGACCCCTTTGGGACCGTTAGGTGTTGAGATACAGATGTCGACTTTACCCGCTATTTCCGTACCACATTGCCATCAGATCATGCAAGAAACTGAGGTTGCTTTCTTCTTTTTTTCCCCTTCCAATAAGTTTAATGCTGGCTAAGTTTCATTTATATTTTTGATTAATATTACTGTGGAAAACGCAACATTCCTCACCAAAAACTAGATTCGCAAAATCAGATTTGATCCTGTTTTGATCCTATCTGATCGGAAATTCACACAAATTTTGAAAATTATGCACAATTTTCCTTCTACTACTGTTGTGTTGGTCTATCACAAGAAACTGAGGTGTGTAAGGTTCGCAAAAATTGTACACAGGTAAAGGGTAGCACTACTTCAAAACATTTCAAATTACGCAAAGGCAACAAGTAGTTAAAAAAAACCTAACAAAATCAGGAAACATCATTTAATATTTAAAAATGACCCATTAGTTATGTCAAAATGTTGGTATTTTAAAGACCAGAGTTTAAGTATATCATAATTTCAGTATACGGAATGTTAGCAAAAGAAAAACTTTTCTAATCAGTTTCTTTCAATATAAAACTCATTAAACTTTAACAAAAAGTACAGGTGTGAATTCTTAAAAAAAAAAAAACTTCCTCTTCTTTCAGTTGGTTACTCAGAGTGGACAGAGTATCCAGAAATATCACTCAAGAAAGAGTCCCTTTACTTTATAGTGAATAGTAAAAAGTAAGTTCCTAAAGTAAATCTAACTACCTACTATCCACCTCTGACTAGGTATAACTTGACAAAATGTAGAAATGATATGCTTTTGAAAGGTGTTGCTAAATTAAAGGTGTGTTTTCTTCCTGCAGTATGGATTCAATCTGGAGAGATGGATTTTAACTGGTCAGCAGCCGGTGAGTCAGGTTCCCTCTTGCCCCCCCTACTGGCTGATGTTCAGCACCCTTCAAGAAACCCACAAGCTCACTCCCAGGACCCAGGATCTGTGGGCCCCTCGGCCCCGCAGCCACAGCCTGAGCTCCGCGGAGGGCTGCTGGTTGTACCACCGCGCCGTCAAGTTCCTCCCAGATGACTCCGATGAAGAAGATGGCTCATATAAGGATATCGCCGGAGAGCGGCCCCGCAGCGCCGCGACCAGGGACCCAGTCTCCAGGGTCAAAGACATGCACCTCCCTCATTCCTCACACCGAGGTCAGCCGGGGTTATCTCCGGTCCTCAAAGGCCCCAGAGCCACGCCCTCTCTCCCGGACTGCAGATCACCTTTACGCGCGCTGGAGCAGCTCAGATCACAGCAGGCAAGCCCGCTGTCTCAGGGGCAGAAGAACGGCAAGAAGAGGCAACGCTCTCTGGGCAGACGGTTCTCCCAAAACACGCCGCCCGCCGGGCATTCTCCATCCAGGCCGCTGCAACAACGACCCTCCTCGGCTGGATCTGTTGTCAGGAACCGCAGGAGAAAGGTAGTTTCCCTCCAGGGAAGGAGTATGAATCATGTTAAAGGTGCGGTATGTAACTTTTATTTAAAAGACAAACAACAAAATAGTTTTTTTTTATTTTTTACATATTTGTAAAAGCTTATTGGCCCTTTGCACTTGACGTCACTCTCTTCCAAACTCCGCCCGCCCGCTCCGCCATGACGGACGTCAAAGGAAGCCTGTCAAAAACCGGACATGTGCTAGCAGCTAGCCTGATATCATAAAGAATGGTCACAGGATGCTGCGCGGTCGGCTGCAGAGAAAGACGAGGGCGAAAAACCAAACTTGTAATTTTGTTATATGACTTTAAATAAGGAAAGTTAGAAACCGACCCATACCGCCTCCCTCCTGACGTGGTGATCAACTTACAGACTTGATTTATATCACTGCCATAAACGTCGTTTCCTCTTCCACGGAGTAGCAATAAGAACGTACAAAAGACGAGATGCTAACCAGTTTTGTTTTGTTTTCTCCATACATGCTAGGCTACAATGGTTAGTCGGTACCTTCTCCATAATGCGATGTTTGATATCTTTCTAATCATACTTGCTTATAAAGTTAATGAACGTTAACGGTCTTACCGTGTGAAAATCACATCCGGGATTACACCGTGATAATGATGACAGCTGCATAATTAACGGCTGCTGTCCATCGCCGCTAACTAGCGTTAGCATTCACAGCGCGGTCTGCTAGCTGCTGCTTAGCAGAGAGCAAACTGAGAGAGGGTATGAGCAGCACCACACAGCAGAGTGACTGACAGCGCTAAGACCCGCCTCCTGGCTCTGATTGGTTGTTTGTAATTTGTGCTGGGATAAGGCAGCTCTTGACATTTTCATAGATATTTCGTCTCATACCATATTGTCAAGACACAAATATATATATATATATATATATATATATATATATATATATATATATATATATATATATATATATATATATATATATATATATATATATATATATAATAAATAAAAGTTACATACCGAAGCTTTAACACATTTTCTACTTTTTTGAGATTACTCCTGGTTTTTCCCTCCTCTGCCAGGTCCTGACAACTCCTGGCTCTCGTGGGGTTTTCTTTGACTCAGCAGCAGAGCTTCTGACAGCTCTCAGCCAGGAGGAGAGGGAGTTACTCGAAACCATCACAGAGAAAGGATACCCGTTACGCACTGCCATCCTGGCTCTGCAGAAAACTGGCTATCAGAGTCCAGAGAAGGTTGGCATCTGAAGATATTCACATTGAGTTCTAATAATCCCTAAACCGATTAGCATTAGTAATAACCTAGCTTTCTGATGTAAACTGTCTCAAAAATACCCTTTGGTCTCACAGACAAAAGCCGACATTTCGCCTCACAGCACCTCTCCCCAGATCAGCTTCTTCAGACTAACAGCTGGAGCAATTAGTAAACACCCATTTTCACTGAACTCATCATAGGAGCAACTTCTCAGTGCACTATCAAAGGCTTAATGGAGAAATGTCACCCGTTGAAGGACGGAGTGTCTCTTAAAGAGACAGAGACCCAATTTCAGGGCGTTAATTACTTTTACGTCCCATTTGATGTATGCAGCTTTTTTACAATTGAAGGTAACATAATTACTTGATTGTGCAATAAAATTACAACATTTTCCTGCAAAATACACAATACTGCCCATTAAAATGCCTTTCTAAGTGATACACATATTTGTGAATGATCTTTTTTAATGAAATCCAAGCATATCTTCCTGATTTTCTTCTCAGGTCCTAAAATACCTGGTTGCATGTGATCGTCTTTGCCAGCTGGGCTATGATGAGGCACAAGTGGAGGAGGCTTTGGAGATGTTTCAGAATTGTGAGAGCAAGGTGAAACAATCATATGTTTACATTTAGGCTAACAAAATAAGATGAATCAAATTCCAGATTGCATGTCAGAAAAAAGTGTAGTAAGAGTGTGCAAGCAGCAGAGGCGTCGTCTGGTGGTGAGGATTGGGAAGTTCTCCAGACTTTAGAGATTCAAAGTTCGGACTGATGCTGGTCCAGGTGATCAGCACTGAACATTAAGGCACTTCATGCTTTCTTCTGTACAGAAAGACAAGGGCCACTAAAAAATATATGCATAATTTTTAAATATTAAATTATTGATAATTTGATCAGTTACTCATACTCAAGTAATTTCTTGGACGGCTACTTTTTACTTTTGTTTGAATAAAAATATTAAGTAGCACTGCCGTTGTCTGACGATAAGCTAAAGGCTGATAAAACAATGTGGGCTTCCTGAACACAGTAGAGCAGGTGTTAAACTCAAGGCCAAATCCAGACTGCAATATCATTATGGTGGGCACAAAACGGCAATTAAAAAAAAAAGCTGTTTTTTTTGTTGCTATATTGCCAAATTATATTTTGAATTTATTTAACTTAAAATACTCAAATGGAAACAGCTATTATTTATATTGTAAGCAGTTTAATGGGTAGTTTAACACATTCTGACATTTATGATCTCAACATGACCCAAAACAAAAACAAGTTTTCCTCCATGCCACGCTGCACTGATGCAGTAACTCAGGCTTACAGAGTTCTGACCAATCATTGAGTACAGTACATAATATAGATGAGTCTGTTTGTGTTTACTGGAATATAAACCATAAATGCCATTTTGTTGCATGATTATATTTCTGTTTCAGGCTGCAGAATTCCTCCACTTGCTGACTCAGTTTGATGAGATGGGCTTCCAGCAGAGCACAATTAAAGAAGTGCTGCTTGTTCATGAAAACCATCGGGAGCGAGCTCTAGAGGAGCTGATGACACGCCTGGCTTAGCTAGTCCAGTCCGAAGACACAGCATCTGGCTTCAAACATTCAACTCAAGCTGCAGCAGCAAGCATGAAAAACTTTGATACTTGTCAATGATTAGTCTTAGTTAAAATGGTTTAAAGCATTTTATTGACAGATTTTTAAAAAGTAAGAAAAAAGGATTAAAGCATTGCAGCATCTCATGACAGAAGTATTTACAGAAGTGAAAACGACCGAACTGTTACTGATGGCTGACAGTGGAGTTCAGCAGGCCCGTCTCCACAGACGATGTAGCAGCCTTCGAGAGGTCCCTCTGCAACGACAAGCAACTTAACTTGTGCAAAGAACAACCTAGTAATGCTGTGAAATGCATACCTTAGAGGTTCCAATTCATTACACTATTTTAAGACAATTTACTATTGCTATTTCTAACATACTGAAATTACTGGTTTCCTTTATTTGCTATTTTTTCCATTTATGGGTATGAAATGCAGCCGTTTGCTTTGACAGACTAACTTTTTCTATGCTTAGTTTGGTGTAAGAGAAATGCATACTTGACTCGATTAAAACATTTTCCAACAGAGAGTGGCTTGTAGTTATTTTTGGGTCAGTCCCATTTCTTAAGACTGATCACAACCAAAATAATTAAAATGGGGATTAGTCATTTTCAGGAAATTGGAGGGAAAGATTCAAATTAGTTGGTTAAAAAAAAAAAAAAAAACCCTGATGTCTAGTTTTGCATTGTATAGTTAAATCCTTAGGCCTAAAAATGTACCAAAAGTATGTTTTTTTTAAATAAAGTCTGTTCTGAGATTTCTGCAGATATTAGCTTATAATATTTAGTGACCTCATCAGCTGATGGGGCAGCATAACCAAGGCAACTAATCTCTGAAACACAAACATGTTCAGCTGAAAATGAAGCATCAAACAGTCTCTTCTGTGATAGTAATTGTGAACTATTACTACGCACCAACAGAAACGTTCTCTCCCACCAACAATTTGAGTAATTTTAAATGACTAAAACCCAGCATAGATCCATCAACTTGTTCATTCAGACAAGAGAAAGAAGTTACTGATATCTTCTCTCCAATAAAGTATTTAATAATCTGCAGTCAAACTTTAATCTCAGGACATTTCTCAAAACCCTTCCTTAATATGAAAAGGTATACATTTTCTTGAAACCTGAACCTCATTATCAAGGACTACAAGCAAGTAAAACATTTACCGCAAATTCCGAGTAGGAGCCCGCAATAGAGTTAATGGTGAAGGTGAGATCTTGAGCATCCTGAGTCTTTGACGTGCCACATGGAGGATTTCTGAGATGGGAGAGGTTTTCCTTATTCCGGTCTAATCCTCGCATCGTATTTCCGTGTCCTGGGGTTCGCAGACTCTGCAACAAGATCAAGAAGTGATCATTCTTATTTTTTAACTTTTGGGTCTCAATGTAACTTTAACATAGCAAAATAGCAGTTGGGACGTATTCAGTTTTTATAGTTATTGTCTATGAAACGCTCCTTTAAAATGAAAACAAAAGGTGTTTGGAGTAAACCTTGCTGGCAGACAGAGGTGGTTTCAGTGAGGGGGTCTGGCACATGGTTCCACTGAGAATGCTGCTTGGAGTGGAAAAGGTAGAAGTGCTATTCATCTAAAAACCAAGAAATATTTTAGTTTCAATTCCCTCATCATTTTTGAGCAATAATTCTGAAAAAAAGGGAAGGGGAGATTAAAAAAAAAAAACTTCAGAAGAATTTCACCTTTCTCATCTTTCCAGGCGTGGGAGTGCCTGCAATTCGTCGTTTAGTTGGCGTTCTCATCATTGTTCCATACAGCATATCCTCTTGTATTTGCTTAGTTTTCTTCATTTGCTATTAGAAAACATTTGGAATCAGTTTGTAAAATGGGAAGCGGTAGGTTAGAGCAATAAAAGCCATACCCGTTCAAGTTTCTCTCTCTCTTTTTTCTCATGGTGTTCTTTCCACTGCTGCTGCACATATTCCAGAAACTTCTGTCCGTTCACAAGGAACTCTTTGCTGTGCTCCTCTTCCCAACTATCAATCTGGGCCTTCAAAACCTTCTCCAACTGAAAAACATTTAAAAGACACATTACTCCACCTGCTGACAACATGTGGCATCACAGTTTTACAAAAACATTTTCATCCACCTTGGGTAAACTTTTCTGCAGCTCAGTTCTCTGCTTCTCTTCCTTTAGGAGGTTCCCCCCTCTGTTGGTGAACCTTGAAGGATCATTAGCCTTTCTCTGGAATAGAAAAACATTAAGAAGTCAGGTTCATGAAGTTTATAAAGCCTTCTCTGTTAAAGTTAGATATTTCTTACATCTAGTTCCAAGTACAAGTTCCAGTTGTCCTGCCACTTTGTTACTCCCTCAAACAGTTCCTTGTGGCCCTCATGGTACTTCTTCAGATTTCTGACCTCGTCCTCATGCAGGTTCAGAAGCTCCTCAGTAATATCATCTGTTATAAAGAATAATTGAGCCTGTAACCCATTTTGATATCATTTGCAGCACCTATCTAAAATAGGGATGCAGCGATTCATTTCCATTTTATGCAATATGGGGACAAATATTGGATCGGTGCATACCCTAATTCAAACCACAGCTATTTACCATCATAAAATGCAATGAAGGCATGCTGCTGTTCATCACTGTAGAAGCATTTCTTCCACAAAACAGCAATCTCTGCCCTGATAGCCTCAATGAAACTCTTCATACTGTTCATTTTCAACAACTTGAGCCGCTGGACCTCTGCTTGTAGCTGCAAAAAGCATTTAAAATACCACAACTTGGATTAAGTGTCGCTTTTACTAAAAAATGCTGTTTGAACAAATGAGGGAGCCTTCTTACTGCCTCAATGTTCTTCTTCTTCGAGCCGAACATGTGCTCAGAAAAAGATTCCCTTTCCTCCTGAGGAATTCGAAGTCTTTCCCACAATTCCTGGATCTTTGTTCGGAAGCTTGAACAAAGGAGTTCATTTTCCGTCTTGCGTGCCTGTAACTGGAGAAAAAAGGTTTTTTAAAAAAAATTCTGTACTGTACACTTAATTCTGATATATCACAAAACACACAAAGCAAACTAACCTGACTAAGAAGTAGTTTCAGGGCAGTAATGTTGTCATTAGACAGACAAAATGCCTCCTCATCCTCACACATCACATCCATCTCAAAACTAGTCTCAGGATTCTGTTCCAGGTCATTCATGCAAGCGATGATCTCTTTCTTGGTTCTCACAAATTCATCATGACGACGCTCCTGGAAAGAGAACACCGCATGAAAATTTAAAGAACCTAAATATAAAGTGAATCACTGAGACAAGCTTTTCCAAAGTACCTTCTCTTTCGTGAGCTCATCAAGGTAGGTACGATAAGCCTCGAGCTGCTGCACCGACGGGACGGCGTGCTGGTCAATGCTGAAGGGCGGGGTGCACATAATGTCGCACAGCTCACGATCTTTGGCAACAAGACCTTTAAGATCCTCCATTCGCTGTGTTTTGTGTCCTTTCATCACTTCTAGACGAGTGCGGAAGTTCTTCTCCATCTGCAGGATTGTGCAGCCTTCCTCCTCCTGCAAGTCAAAAAACACCTTCGTATGAGATGATTTTACTAAATCTGCGTTAGCTAAGCAAAAGTTATTTTTTTGTGATAGTCTAGCGATTCTCATGATACATTTAAAAAGCAGAAAAAAACCCCAGAGACAGTAATTCAGTCCAGCCTGTAGTTCTATGTCTTTCTGAATATAGTGAGTTTGTGAAATTAAAGACTTGCTTCCAAAATTAAAATAAACACCAGAAAAATACTGAATTCAGCAGGCATTTATGCCATAGTTAAGTACTAAAATAATTTTTTGGCAGTTGTCAGAATTATTGTTGCTTTTGCTTCAAATATAAGCATTTTTTCAAACTGTGAAATGTGGCATTTTTACTCAAGATCATTATACTTTGAACATTAAATGTTTCCATACAAAGACATCAGACTTAACATTTTTCTAAAAACAAAAAAATGTTCATGGGGTCTGTATAAGTACTTTAAAAAATTATTTAAACAATGCATTCCTGTCACAATGCACTAAATATTAACATGTTTTACTATGCAAGGCATCTAACATCTTTGTGTTTTTGATTGTACCTTAAAGGGCGGCAGCTGCAGTTCACTGCACAAAAGACTGAGCTCCTTTTGACATGACTCAATGGTTTTCAGCAACCGCTGCTTTAGATCCTGCTCTTCAACAATCATCAGATCCAGCAAGCCCTGCACAGAATGAGCATCAAAAGAGGTCAGATCTCAAGAAGACATACAAATAAAAGCTTAAAGTTGGCTGGTTGGTTTTGCAACGCTCACTTTAATGTGCATATGCACATCGTCGGTTCTCCGCATCCGCTGCTCTTCGGGGATTCCTATCTCTTCCCAAATATCCTGCAGCCTGGCAAGAGCCCTGTTCAAGTAGGAAACGGACTCTGCTGCATGGACTTGACTGGAAGAAAGAAAAACGACTGGCTATGAATTTTTAGTGGGTTAAATACACAAGACAACTTTAAGGTCTGGTGGGACACTAAAAACGAGACACTCTCTTTAAGCTAACCATAGTTAGCTACACATAAACTCTTAAATGGCATTAAACTAGTAAAATAATTGTCTCCATTCGCATATAGAGATAACAACAACACCCCGGTTGTTTTTAAATACGTTGTTTTAAGTCAAAAGGCATCACTTTTAGGCTAACAATGGATGTTTAAAAATGTATAAAACGGTTTCCCTAACACAAATAAAGGATATATATATATATATATAATCACTACAAACCTCTTTCTCATGTCACCGTCGCAGATATATCCAAATTAGTAACAAAATATTTCTCTAGCCGCATGCAGTCGTGGCTCTCGCAGAAATCGCTTAAAAACGTTAAACCCGGTGTGGCTACAGCTGACCGTTTGTGGAGTCTTTTTCAAATTTTCGCCGACAATAGCTGTGCGCTGATTGGCCGGTTAAAAATGCGTAGTCATACGTCGCCGTGCTCGTTACTGCCCCCATCAGGATTGGTGGACGTAGCGCAAAACTCCCTCTGCTCTGGTTATAATAAAATCTTGTAAGTTGAACGTAAAAGGAATAATATTTTTTTTTCATAAGACAAAGCATACAATAGCACTATTGTTTTACTATTCTTTGGGATTAAGGGGGGACTTCCTCATATTTCCCGTCTTTCCTGTCTACGTCCTTCCTGTAAACGCTCTTTTTACGGAAACATCCGATTCAACGCTTCGGTAAAGCTCGCTTTCAAAGCCCATATTTCGCTGCTCTTCATATCTGTTAAATGCAATGAGTATTTTCAGCCGATTTTGTCACATTTCAAACAGTAAGCGCAAGAAATGAGACAGATACAGAGCTAGACGAACAAATCCGAATGTTGCCGAAGGCTGATGACGTAGGCGTCATCAGCTTACGTCATCATTGTTTGTTGCCAGAGGGAAACAAACAACCCTCAACTCAAATAGCAGACAAAAAAAAAAAAAACTAGATCAGATGAAGCTTTAAACCTGGTTTAGTTCCGGCTAGAATATGAGAATAAAGTTAAAGAAGACAGTAAAAAACTTGAAACCTATCATGAAAATGTTGCAGAGAAAAGTAAAATCTTCTAAGTGGGAATGAGTGGGAATCAAATGATAAAATGGTAGTTGGAGATTTCACCCAGACCAATATGTCCCCATTGAACCCAACCCTACCCGTGACTACAGTTTATGAGCTCTAGTGCAAAACCTCATTCTGGTCAAAGTTAGATTGAACAAATGTTCCTAAAACACATCATGAGTGAATGAAACTATCGTTAAACCACAAAGAAGGGACCACATCAATGCTTTTTCTTTATGTAGAAACTAGTCAAATCAAGTCAGGCCAACAGTTTAGAAAAGATTAATTAAATACAGTTAATGATCTGGAACTCTTTGGTTTAAAAAAGCTAAGGCAACAAATGAAACAGCCTATTAAGGATCCAGATGATAATGAATGTTTTAAAGCAATATTTGTTTTGGCTTTTTTTATTCTTGAAGGTTTATCATCAGCAAACATATTGTAATATCAGCAAAGAATTATGATATTGAAACACTTATATTTAAAATGATCAATTTGCCTGCCATAAGCCTCAAAACCATTGTCTAAAATTTAGCTTGTGATTTGTAAAAAGCCTTTCAGTTATCAAACTTTAATTGAAAGATTTTTAGGCTTTCCAAACTCAGGACTAGATTACCTACAGCCTACAGCCCAACAATAGTTGGACAAATCAAACACAATTTATTTACACAAATTTATTTAGCTACAACTTTTGATGTTTATGTATTTACATTTTTAGCTTTTAAGTTTTTGTTTTTGTGTATAGAAATGAATCTGGATTATGAATGACTTAGTCTGACATTTTCTTTCTGCTTCTCTCCTTTTGTCTGAAATTATAGTCAATCTGTCCATTCTTTTTTTTTACTGCTACTGATAAAAGCTGTGGCACTGGTATGTATTTATAGTTGTATTATATCTATGGTAATACTTCACATAGATAAATGTTTATGTCTTTGCTTGATAAAATATTTAATTTAAGTTCTAACTGACTTTCTTTCTATGCAGGTTGGCTGACAATTTGTGCCTGTGGTTTTATTCATATCTCTCTAGTAAAAGATTCTGCCTGTGTGACTGGTGGTTTTATTTCCCCAGGAGTTCACTGAGTCCAGCAGGTGTAGAGATGAAGTCTGTGTTGTATTGAATATATTCTCTGAGGTACAGACTCTCTCTACATGCCCCTACAATCTGCTTGCAGCTGCAGTTCTGGGCCAGAACTACTGCGTTTCATGGCTGCAGTCTATTGCTGAATTTTCCGTTTCAGTGATGCTTTAAATTGGCTACAGAGTACTTTAGCTTCTGACATCTGCTAGTGTTTGTGTGTGTGTTTGTGTGTCTCGCTAAAGTATTTATAGCCAGTGAACGTCTCCATCTTTTGACACATTACAACCACAAACTTCTATGTGTTTTATTAGGATTTTATATGGTAGACTAAATCTGTGAAATAGAAGGAAAGTGATACTTGATTTTTAAAATTAAATTTGCATTTGTATTCAACATCTTTTACTTTGATATCAGAAGTCCCCCAAATAGTAGAAAGACTCTGCCTCAATGTAATCTAAGGGTAACTTCAGTGGGTAGACTAGCTGTCTTGCAATTGGAAGACTGCAGGTTTGATTCTAACTTCTGGATGCACTCAACCTCAAGTAGCCCATAAATGTGTTCACATTTGTAGGTTAAAGTTATTTCATTGGTCACTTTGACTGGAAAAGCATGTAAATGCATTCCATTTACCACTGAATTGAAACTCAACATAAATCCAGCTGTTCTGTGAAGGCCTGAGAGGTTTGTTAATGAACAACCAGCAAGTTGTGGAGAAATTTAAAGCAGGATTAGGCTATAAAGCAACCCCAGGTCTCAACATGTACTAGAGCAATGTTCAATTCACCATCAAGAGAGAGTCTGTGTATATATTACGTTTCATGTTGCTTGAAGCAGTAGGAAACTTGAAAAGGTAGCCAAAGATTCATTCTCCAGCAGGGCAACAACCATAAAGGCAGAACCAGATGTACAATGGAGTGGTTCAAAGCAATGTGTTAAAGTACCAAAAAGACCAAAATACAACTTAAAATCTGAGGCAGATGCTTTCCTTAAGCCACTGTGTTAGCAATAATTCATACAAAAGTTTAGTCTCCAAAACGCTACAAACATACCCCCAAAGAAGGGATGAATACAAATACAAACCACACTTGTTGGATATTTATTTCCTTCCTGTTTACAATTTTGTGCAACTTTATGCTGTCCTAGCCCATAAATTCAAAAATAATACACAGGAGTTTGTGGTTGTAACATGACAAAGAGTGAAAGACTTCAAGTTGTATGAATGTTTTTTGCAGGACACTTTTGTATCTGTGCATTTAAATGTGTCTTTTGGTACTTTTTCCTTTTATATAACAAACAAAACAGTATTTTGATGCCAAGTTCTGACAATCAAATGTTTCTGAGCCACTTCCAGCCAAACATGTACATTTACATACTTTGGATTAAGTTATCTCTGTATATCATGAGGACACAGCTTAATATTTATTTACATGTTTAAACAGCTACATTGTGTTTTTTTTACAAAAAAAAATTCTTGTACAAAAAATAAAAAGTTTTAGAGGAAAATGAAATGGTGAATGTGGATGTTAAATGCCAAAATGTCATTCCAAATAAATAAAGAAAATTGTCAGAAGACGTATAAAACCTGCAAATCCAAAAGTAAAACATAATTTTGGGAAATCTAATGATCGATCATTGTAACAAACAGCCTTTGTTTCGTCCTCAGAGATGATAATGACGTAAATAGAGGCTTTTGAGCACCTCCTCGCTGAACTGGTAGGTGAGCTTCTTCTTCACTTTTTTAATCTCTCCTGTTTTGCCATAGTTCCTCAAGGCTCTGGCCATTTTTTGGTAGGTCATTTTTTTGCGATTTCCCTTCTGGATGCCCCAGTGGGTCGCCAGAGCCTCCTTGTGTTTGGTGGAAAACTGGAAGATGCCCTTGTCCTGGTCCACCCACCAGATGCTGTCGCTCATGTCGCCCTTCCTGAGCAGGTCCAGGAGGAACTGGTACAGGCGGATTTTCTTCTTGTTGCCTGGAATGGGAAATCACATTTTTTTTTTTTTTTAAGATTTCAGTAAAGGGGAAAAAAAATAAGATCATTATTATGTCATACATTTGCACATTTGTACCTGGGTCTTTCCTGAATGAGCAGTTGTAATCTTCATACTCATCCTCCCCCTCTGACACTTGCAGCGGGGGACTGACGGCTCTCTGCTCCTCCTCTGAGTAGAAACGTCGCGGTGAAGCCAGGGGTGGGTACTGGTAGCACAGGGATGGGGTGTAATATGGGATCTTTAGGGGAAATTTAAAGCATTTCAGAAAGCTGCTTTTTAAAAGAAGGTTTTGCAATCACGCAATGTCTGACATTTTTTTGCTTAAACACAGCTATTGTCCTAAAAGAGGAAGTTGCTCTGTCAAAATAGATTCCAGTGCTCAGCAACAACACGTGGTGTGGATGACATTTCAGTGAAAATGTCCCAGGCTTTCCACAACATGGAGGGTGGTTGTTGAAATCACAGTCAAGAGTTATTATTGTTTTTATGAAAATAACTTTGGATTATTTAGGTTTATATTTGCAGCTAATTCTAAAGAAAGTATGGATTCTAAAACCAGAGTAACAGCTGACATTAGGTGTTTTGGTCAGTTAAAAAAACAACAGCTATTGTGAGATCTCAACATTTTAAAAGCTGAAGAAACACAATACATTTCAGTCTGTAAATTTTTGCGTCAACCGTACTTTTGCGCAGACAAACTCACTTGTGATGACAGGGTGATCTGTGGCGTCTCCAGGTGAAGGTGCAGAGACTCGTTGCTGAGCGGGAACGGCTGAATGAGCTGCTGAGGAGACACGGCCTGCAGCTCCGTCAGGTGATTCACGGGGGAACCCTCAAAGTCTGGCGGCTGGACCCGGTCAGAGTGGAACGGCCATCTGTGGTCTGACAAGTGAGGGGCGTTAAAGCTGTGTGATGAATCATCATCTCATTAAAGCAGTAAATCTCATATTCTCACCTTCGTAAATCTCTCCCACGTTCAGGTAGGGGTACAGGTCAACAGGCGGTCGATAAGTCTCCGGCTCATGTGGAATAGCATCCTCGGATGCCTATTTGAGATTTAAAAATATATTTATTTTCCAATCAAATATATATACGACTGCTTGAACAATAAAAAAAACCCTCTAAACATATTTGGATTGAACATTACTGTCTAAATTATAAACATACATCCCTGTAAAGCGCACACAAAGATGAAAATCAGGTTTACTAATCAGTATGTTTAACTTTGTGTCCTAAACCTGTAAAACAATCAGTGAAATCCCTCCAGCCTCCCTCTTTCATCTGAACTCTGACCAAACACTCATCTCTCTATTTAACTGAAATAAAGCCACAAAATAGAAGCACTTACAGACGTTATGACAAAGCCATCCATCATGTAAACAAGGCAGCATGAGAGTCTTGACTTTTACAGCTTGTGATAAAAGTTATGTTTTTCCTATTGCTACACTGAGAAACACGCAATGTCGGCTTCAGCAGGCAAAAATGGGAACTGAAAGTGAGAAATCAGCTAAGCTGGACCCTATGCAGGCGACATTCATAACACCCAATTGTCAAACTCATATGATCACCTAGTTCCTGATGGCCACTGATTGGTTTTAAATGCGTTTCCTGCAGTTTTCAAAAGTTCAGACATACAGCAAAGCAGGTAAAAAGCTGATCTCTGTTTGATTGGGTGCATTAAAATGTACATTTGTTATTATACCTTAAATAAAATTGATTTGCAACACTTTCTAAATAGTAGATCTGCTTGTGCAGTGCTGTGATTATATTTTCATAAAACATAACTTCTTCAAACAGGTTTTATAAGTGAGCAGGAAAGTAGTTCCCCCCCAAAATCTGCTTCATAAAATGAGCTGATCAGTTGATCTCTCCCACACAGATTTAATGGCAGTCATACCTCAGTATGATTAAGTCATGTAGGATTTTTTAAAATTATTATTTTAAGCATATTGCTCTCAGGAGCTGAAACCAAAAGCGAAGTTTGGATCCTCGCTTGTTCCCCTTTTAGATTGGCATTCTGGTTTCAATAGAGGAAGTTCTGACCATGAGAATGAAACCAGTGAAAACATGACTGACATGCTCTGAGGCTCTGTGTTCCTTTGAGTCCCCTTTCCAAGCAAGCTGGGAGGTGGAAGGGGGCTGCTATCATGCAATAAAAAGAGGAACTACTTATGTGCAGTAAAAAAATATGAGCGGTGTCATTTTAATCGTAAACTGAGTAGCATCGGTGCTGTATCTTTTACATGTATAATTGTTTTAGGGGAATAAAAAAAGCTTTGTGATGTTAGAGTGCAGGTTTTCCTTCAGGTAATCAGGTGAAATGGTGGCAGATCAGCAACGTTTTTTAATGCGAAACAAAAATCCCAGAGAGGCTGAGTCGAATCAGATGTAAAAACTAGGACGTGTTTTCCTTAGGGAGGCTGCATGAGACAATCGATCTGAGTTTTCATTTATAATAATTTTGGAATTCTGTTATTTGAGCTACACAAGACAATTTGTTAACATCTTTTTAATGTTATTCATAAGTATCATTTATTCAAATGGCACATGATTCATGCAAGTTAAAATTTGGCCAGATGTCTAAAACAGGATCCAGACGTGCTGACGTCTTTTCTGGTTAGTATGGTTAGCATGAGAAAAAAAATGTGAAAATAAGCAGCTTTTCTTGTCTTATTATTTTTGCAAATTCTAGCATCCTCCAGATGTAAGAAAATAGGTAGCATCCTTTGTGTTTGTGTCAAACACTCAGCAACGGCCTCCTTTAAACATGCATTCATATCATTGATTTGAACAGATGTAAAGGTAACATAGAAGCAGGATTTTGACAAAAATCTGTCCTGTCTTTGTCACGTTGTTTCAGCAGAACAACTCCGAACTTCAGTACGGACGTTTCAAACAGCACAACTCTGTACGTTGAAGTGTCACTTCTTTACTCCAGATGTAGCCCCAGGAAATAAGTTTCATTATTTGAAAAATGAAACTTAATTTACAGTTGTTGCAAAGGTTCAACAAATATTTTGTCAATAAATATCTATATCTGTCTATATATCTTTTAAAAATATTTTTGAAAAAAAAAGTTTGAAATATTTTTTAAATATTTGAAAAATAAAACTACGGTAAGTAATATATACAAGAAAGGGAAAACAAATTAAGAAAAAAAATTTGCTCCACCTATGACCATGTCTAAAATAGCAAAAATGCAAATCAGGACCCACTTTGAGTGGGGAATATATTCCTAACAATCAGCAATATTAATAAACTTCAGTAACTTATCAGTTTTCTTACCAAAACTGCATAAAGGAGTGAAATCTGGGTTTTGATTGGATCATAAATGAATACCTCCAGTTGGCTAACTTGCCTCTCTTGTTGCCACTAAGCCAGATTTGTTGATCGTACTAAATAATTGAGCTGTGGACTCATCCCACAGCTCCACAGTTGAACCTGTCGGTACAGACAGACAGCCATGTCTTCACAGTTGTGCATCTGCCACTTGTTCTATTTTTTTAAAGGAACCATTTAAGCTCCATGAGAAGCTTAAATGGTTTAATGTTGTTTTATAACCTAACCATGTTTTACACTTCCTCACAACTTTTCCGGTCTGCTTGCTGTTTGTTCGCTACTGTTCTCCAACAACACTGAGGGTCTCAAAGTGTAGCTGTGTTTATACGGAGACTTAGATCATTTCAGAAAGCAGTTGGTTATAAGTCGTTATCTCAAAGTGAATGTGCAAGACACTTTCTGTCTAGAGTGGAAAAAGTTTAAAGGCCGGTCTTGGGATACTTTTGCATTCATGGTCAATCATTACATATCATCAACACCCTTTGGCTTTAAATGCTTAACAGTGTTTCTCACCTGGTCTACAGAAAGACCCAGACAGTTATTTGTACAGCTGTGCTGGAATGGAAATTTACCAGAAGCAATCTACTGGATGTGATGAAACCGTTTCCTGTTCATCTCACAAAGGAAGCAAGGCCAGTTTGCGGGGGCTTAATATGGCCTGCCTTTCAGTGTTTTACTACTTGAGACAGCAGCGGCTGTGTTTATTCAAGAGACTGTCCATTAAAGGGAGGAGGGAGGATGCATCCTCTTGAGTGGCTCTGGCAGACTCTGGATTTCTCTTCCTACACATGTTGGTCCTCGGTGCAGTGAGTGCAGCTCTGGGGCGACTGTTTGCAAATACTCGCTCTGTCTCCATCTGCTGGAAAGAGCTGCTGGACGCGACCAGTATCCGGGATACACCGAGTTCAGATGCATAAAGGAGACACAACCAAAACAGCGGATCGAGGCCCCGGTTTTTTAGTTGTTTTTTTTGTTTTGTTTTGTTGTTGTTGTCTTTTTTAAATCTTCCTCCAAAAATATTTGGTTCATTTAAGGTGGCAGGGATTTAGGAAAAATGAGGGCTTGTGTCCTGCATCCACCTTTCGGATTTGGACATATCGCTGAATTTGCTCCACACCGCAGCCAGTGAAAGCAGCAGCAGCAGCAGCAGCATCCAGGAGCCAGAGTTGCCCCTCCACCACCACGGCGCCGAGGCCAGAAGCGCATGGAAACATGGCTGCTATGAGGACTTTGACCGTGGCGGGGCTGTTTTTGGCGTTCTGCGCGCTGGGGCTGATAGCCGTGGCGATAAGCACCGACAACTGGTACGAGACGGACGCCAGGCGGCACCGGGAGCGCTGCAAGAATTACTCCAACAAAAGGAACGACCCGGGCTACATCTACATCTCCAACAACAACCTGCCGCTCCGCATGCTGCCGAGGGAGAAACACGCAGAGAGGAAGGGCGATATTCTGCTGCGGGCCAAGAGGCACTTCTTGCCTCCCGCCTCGGCCATGGAGTCCCTCTGCAGTCGGCACTTCAACTCCACCATCACCGGGCTGTGGAGGAAGTGCCACCGGGAAGGATTCGACCTGGAGACGGAGGATTTGATCTTTAAAGGTCTGAATGTTTATTTGATGTAAGAGCGACGCTGCGCCTTGCACTTTCGCTATCCAAGGTGCTGATGCTGCGCACAGACGGTCAAGGCCTCTACGCAGCAACATGGAGTACAGTTACAATGCAATCGACGAGCTTTGTGTTTTCTTTTTTTTTTTCCCACCGAGCGCGAGAGGGTGAGCTGTAGTAACAGGAGCTGGGAGATGTGTGCGGAAAAAGCTTACTGTACAACAGAGTGGGTGGATAGATGGGTGGGTGGTGGTGGAGGAGATGGGAAGGATGGGGGAGGGCGGTGGGTTGGTAGCTGTTTTGTGGGGTGGCAGCAGAGAGCCGTGTGATATCCTTCCCATCTGATCTGAGCGTCCTCTTTGTGTTGTTTACATTCTCAGGATTGGTTCCGCGCTGCACACCCATAAAATACTACTACTCTTCTGCAGCGCTGCCCAGAAACCTGCCAATAAATCTGACGAAGACTATCAGGCAGGATGAGTGGCACGCACTCCGTGAGTAGACACCACGTTTGATCTTTTTAGTTATTTTTGTTGAATCAGTCGGGATGCACCGCCTTAAAACCCCCGTGCTGCACGTTTTTTTCCCCCCAGACCTCCAGAGGATGACTGCCAGTTTCATCGGCATGGCCGTTTCCATCATCCTGTTCGGCTGGATCATAGGCGTGCTGGGCTGCTGTCAGGAGCATGATCTGATGCAGTATGTGGCTGGACTCCTCTTCCTCATGGGAGGTGAGATGGTCCTGCCTGAGCTCACCACACAGGGGCAGTGTGGTCTCTCTGCTAATGAGGGCGCTTTTAAATGCCTCATCCACTGGCCTCGTTTCCCATAAGAAACGACATGTGGGCGAATCCACCATATTGTGAGTGGCAAGTTCATCTAGAAAACGCAGGTTTACAAATATCCCTTCCCACCCCCATAACGTTCAATTAATTTGGATAAATATGTTGTATTTACAGTAATAAATGTAGGCCTACATCTACATCCCTTGTGATAGGAATCATTTAGATACAAATGGACAATAACTGCCAATTACTTAATTCCTTTCTTAGGCAGGAACCCAGTTCCTCCATTATTATTATTATTATTATTATTATTATTATTATTATTATTATTATTATTATTATTATTATTATTATTATTATTATTATTATTATTATTGTCATTATTATTATTATTATTATTATTATTATTATTATTATTATTATTATTATTATTATTATTATTATTATTATTATTATTATTATTATTATTATTATTATTATTATTATTATTATTATTATTGTCACAGATGTGATATGGAACAACCACTGTGAATCAATAAAATAAAATTAAAGTGACCTTAATTTAATTTGTAATTTGTTAAGAAGGAGTAACAAAAGGAAATTGAAAGTAGTTCCTTCAAATTTTAAGATAGCTAGCTATCTGAAAACCCTAAAATTAGCTAGTAGCTAGAAAGTTAGCTCAACCCTAAAAGACAAGCTATGTGGCTCGAGTTTGAGAGCAACTGTTTTTTCCTCTCATGTCTTATCTGCTCTTCTATATCTGAAAAACTGTTTTGTAATCATGTCTGACTTGTTCTGTTTTGCCCTCCGTCAGGGACATGCTGCATAATCTCCCTCTGCACATGCGTGGCTGGGATCAACTTTGAACTGTCCCGCTATCCCCGCTACATGTTTGGTATACCAGAGGACATCAGTCACGGTTACGGCTGGTCCATGTTTTGTGCTTGGGGTGGACTGGGCCTCACATTGCTGGCTGGCTTCCTGTGCACGCTGGCTCCTTCCCTCTACCCCCCACACACCCCAGTGGCTCACAAGCCCAGACAGGAGAACGGCTGCGTGTGACGGGCCGTGACCACCCAAACAGACGCTTGTCTCATACTGAAACAGTTTCTGAGCCTCGCTCTGCAGACGGTTTCATCCAAGGTCACTGAGCGCCTTCAGACAGAGAAAAAAGCACAGGCTCCCAGACAGACAAAAATGATAAAGAGGTGACAATTGCCTGAAGCTTAGTTCCTCTGGTGCTTTTTTTCCGAACGAACTCTTATGTGTCATTGCTTGCTCCACAAGAGGGGGACATCATCATTTCTTCCTATAAATTCTGCTAGATTGAAAAGAAGAAAAACAGAAAAAGAAAAACTGGCAGAACCTCAATAGCAGAATTTTCAAACAAACTGTACTGAAGAGAAAATTATTGATGTGCATCATCACATTTCAAAGGGCAACTGTGTATCATTATGTACCCATTCAAAAATATAAATATGTACATGTACTTTTTGAACTGTATGTATGCAGATGCATTTGTGTTTATTCAAGAAAAAATATGAGCATTAAGACCAAACAGTGTTTGAGGGAAATGTTTTGTTTGTTCTCGAGGTCTTACCTTCATCAAGATATTTTTGGAAAAAATAAAACAGCCATTCAAAACTAATAAACTTGACATATAAATGTTTTTATAGATGACGTTTAAACTGATGTTGGGTTCACTGGTGTGTCAGCAGGCAGAGAAACAGCAGCTTGAATTTCTCTTCACTCGTAATTGCTTACACATGCAAATCCAAGCAGCCAGAACACGACTTGATAAAACTAAATTGAATTATGAGCTTTTCCCAAAAAGCACAGAAACAAGTGGAGAAGCAATTTTTAGCTGTCAGTTAGACGTAAATAAACTCCACTGAAACATATAATACGATTAAAGCCAGTTGGATTCATCTGACTCTCTTCTATCTTAAATCACAAAGAAATTGAAATCAGTATTTTTAAAACAATTGCTTCACTCATATGCGTCTCCCAAGACTCATTTTGCAGTGTAAAAATGTAATAAAATGTTATAACTAAAAATTGTTCCTCTGTCAACAACTATAGGATGCCTCAGGTCTTCATGGTTCACTGCCTACAGAACAAAACAAAGTAAGTAATTAATTAAATTTTTTAAAAATAAATGAATAAAAACAGGAAAAAAAACGCAATTCATAATTTTTATTTGTCTAATTTTTGACTCCATCCGTCTATCCGTTCATCCATAGATTCATCCATCCCTCACATGGATGGATGGAGGAATCCTTTTATGGAAATGCAATGTTTTCAGGAACAGCCAGGATAGAATGTATTTCTGGATTTGATTCATCATTATTTTAATCTCAAAATGAATTGTCTTGAAGTTAAATTGGACTTTAGTTCTGCTGTCAACTAACATATCCTAAAGGTCCAAGATGATGTTTAAAAAGTGGATCAATCTCTGCACTTTCATTATTACACATGCTGGTAAATGAAACATGTGGTCACAGCTGACTCTGCTGTGTGGGAACAGCAGGACTACTAATACGCAATATATTTAGCAATTATTTCTGACAGAAACACAAGTTTTCTTGAAGGTTTTTTTTCTTCTCAGTGCAGAGAGGAAGGGGTCAACTCGGTGCTACATTCCTGACCTTTCTTTGTTTGTCCTGAGAATGTGTTTAACTGGGAAACAGTCTGCTCCCTTTAAACTCACCCTGCTGTTGTGCGTCTCCACACAAAAAACTGCTAAATCCACATAACAAAAACGTGCATTTGAGCCAAAAAATAAAAAGTAAACAAAAAAAAAAAGAAAAAGGATATTTAAGAACAGCTGCAACTCACTGTACCTTAATCTTACACTGTGGAAAATGTACCCTTATTTTTCAGCTAAATCTTCTGAGCCCTGTGCGGTGCCTCTGGAAATTAAGAGCAGTGCAGACATATAGGGTTTCTGTACACACAAAGCTCCTGCAGTTCAGTTTTTTTTTTTTTTGACGATGCCGGTTAGCCATGTGCTGAGCTACAGAGGGCTGTTTTAGAAAGGGGGTCCCTCTGGGGAAGCTGGACTGTGAGGAAAACCAGACAGAGGAAATCACACCCAGTGGCAGCCCATCTGGCCGCCCTCAAATCTGCAGAAAGCATCGCTGGTAAAGAGTGGGCGCACGCTTCTGGCAGCTCGTTTGTGGGCTTTTTGTTGTTGTTGTGTTGTTTTCTGCAGATGCTGGGTGGAGCGGGTGAATTTTATACAGTAATTAAACAATTCACAGATTACAGAAGGCTTTGAAAATCTGGAGATTTAGGGATCACAGACGCAAACAGGCTGTAAACTATTTTTTTCCCATTTCTAGGACAGACAGTATGTCTAAAATGAGAACTTATTTTCCAGCTGAAAATAACAACAGGGGCAAAATGGATTTTGTTCATTGTTCTATTTACAGTAAACTGGCCTTATCTGGAAGTGTTCAGAAGTTTACCACAGTAATATTTCACATGAATCATAAACTGCATGTGACAGATAAACGAGCAGACAATAGCGATAGTGACTGCTTTGGAGCAAACATGTTTCATACTCCGGTAGATTACTTCCAGATGGTTTGCAGGAGGCAGCGACAGACTTTAGACGCCTATTAAACAGGTCCAATTTGAAGGGACAGTCGAGTCTGCCACTCGTGTGGTACCAGGAATGGGTGAACAGAAAGCAAGAGGACAGTTTTATGCAAAATTCACAGTACAAAGAAAAAGGGAGATTTGCAGCAGAATGCCTGACGGCTAAGGGAAGGAATGAAAAAATAATCACGACACGCAGACTGAAACACAGATGTATGCAGGTCCAGCGTGAGGTTTCATGAGGCCCCAGAAATGTATCTGGGACACCCACAGCTTTAGTACATCAGTGTAATAATTATGCACTCTGGAGAGTTTGGAAGACCAGTGTTTGTTTTGATTAAAACCACAGATGAAAATAAAAATACTATTACTTATTGATCTGTAACAAATAGTGAAAGTGCATTTATGCAAAGTGGGATATTATAAAATTGAAGCATTCATTTTTCCTAATTTTGAGGATTATGTCTTACAACTCATGAAAACCAAAAATCCATTTTCTCAGAAAATGTAGCTATTACATAAGATAAAACAAAAATAGTTTGTTGCATAAATATTATGGCTTTCTTAGTCATGGAGGAAAATGTTGCGTTGACAGTTAAGCAGACAGTCATTCACACACAGGAGAAGAATGATGGAAAGTTTAGTGGAGTAAAAAAGTGTGTGCAAACCAAAGTGAGAACTTTAGTCTTAATAGTTGAAACTTCTATGAAGGACTTTGGCCACAACTGCTGCATTCATTGAATAAAGTCACTAATTAACATGAGAAGTGACTGAAACTGGGATAAAAAGCACCGGACTGCTGCTTAGTGGTCCAGATAACTCTCTCCAGGTGAATGTGATTTTTAAAGGTCAGAGTCTGGAGGATGAGGAGACAGTCACATGAGGTCCAGCTTAAAGTTTCCATGATGAATGAAGATTTAGGGAACCATGTCATCTTTTGGTACTGATGACATCACTCATCCAGGTGATGACGGTTTGGACGACAGGTCCAAAGTCAGTGCAGGTTGTTGTAGAGAATTTCAGGCTTTTCCTCTGCTGACAATTTAACTTTGACTGGTCTGTAGTTCCTGATTCAGTAACAAAAACATCACTGTGAAGGATTTGACCAACGAGCTTCCCGACTATAATGCAACAGAGAATCTAAGGAGAATTGCTAAGAGAAAGACAGGACACCAGAACCAACACTGCACATAAAATATGGCTGCTTTTAAAGCAAACTTTGAACTATTAAGCATTATATGGATGTGATTTTCAGACCTTTCTGTTTTAATTTTTTTTAAACAAAAACAAATATTTATTTATATGAGATTCGCTGTTTAAATCACTGAAATTATATTTTTTTTGGAAAACTTCCTGTACATTCAGTAAAATGTCCTCTAACTCAGACCTGCTCTTCAACCTGACTGCAACAAAAGGGGGAATTCATTGTTATGAAATAGATATTTATTCAAATAATACAGATTGACATTAACTTTAATAAACCGGTAGTGGTGGCACAGCCATAATTTATCCACTCATTGTTTTTTCCCACTCCTGTCTCACAGGAATGTGTTGATATTTTTGTTGCAGCTCCTCGCATAGCTCCGCGGAACGAGGACACGCAAAAAGGTCGGGGTGAAATACTTCAGAGGCATATTCATAAACCACAGTGCACTTTAAAGTTGCTTGGTGAGCTGGGTGGCTCTTTTATATTACTCATTGTCTCCCAAAGCACATTCATGAGCCCACATTGAGGAACTCAGTCTTCAGGCGGCTCAGTCTGGTGCCATGGCTGCGGATGATGAGAGACAGCAGCTCGTGTCTGTCTCTGAGTCCCTGAGAGATGTCGGTGGTTTCCCTCAGAGCGCCTCTGATGTCGCTCACTTGCTTCACCACGTAGCCGTTCAGCTGCTCTTCCTCCCTCAGCTCAGTCTCTTGACTTTGCTTGAACTTCACCTCCAGCTCCACCAGCGACTTGTCCACGCTGGAGAAGGCCTCGCCGATCTGGGAGATCTCCTTCAGAAGGAACTTCCCGTAGCTGTCCTCTCCGTCCAGGTCGTGCGCCACGGCGCGGCCGATGCCCTCCAGCAGCCGCGCCGCGTCCTCCGCCTGCAGCTTGGTGATGATGAAGTCGTCGCGCACCGCGGCGTCGCTCTCCTCCGCGGCCGCGCACGGAACCACGTCGGAGAACTTGAACAGCATCTGGCAGTGCTCCGGGTCGACCGTCTCCTCATAATCCCCGTCCGGGACGAAGAAGTGATGGAAGGTGCCGTTGGAGATCTCCGGCTGGAGGGGCCCGTCGTAGACCGCCGAGGTCAGGGGCCCCGACGCGAGCAGGATGAGCAGCAGCGGGACGGGATCCATCCTGCACCTTCCGTCTCTGTTCGGCGAGCTGCATCTGGACGGGCAGCCGGATCCGGAGCGCAGTTTTCATCCCGACTCAAGTTACACAGTCAGTCCCACTTCACATTAAAGACACACTGCCTCTTTCCCTGAGAGGGGCCCCGGTGGCCCCTAATTCACGCATATTTTTACCGCTAATTATTTTGCTGCCCTCTTAATGTCTCATATCAAAACAGAGACTTCTTCATTGTTTTTTCCCCCAATTAGTTTATGTAGCCTACATAGACTGATTATTAGTCTGTCCAGTTTTTATCCTTCCTCCAACCCAACCCAGGACTGAGGTGGACAAAGTAAGTAGTAAAAGTATTGATATGGTCAAATCTTACTCAGTTACAAGTCAAAAGTTTACTCTAATTAAACTTTTAAAAATACTAAAGTAGCACAGCGTGTGGCTAATGGCATTACTGGAAAGAAAAAGCAGCAACAGCATCCAAAGCTATGCTGAGCTAAAAGGAAGGAGTGAGACAGGCTTCCTGGAAATGCAGTGGAGTTGACAGTACTGTATCTGTTTTTGAAATGGAGTGCAGTGATAGTTGTAAGATCCCCAAAAATGAATACTCAAGTAAAGATACAGAAAATGTACTTAAGTACAGTCTTCAAGTAAATGTACTGCCCACCACTGCTACTACCAGTCTCCTGCAATCCTTCACATAAAGAGGTTATAACCAATGGATGAATGTATTAAGAGAAATACAGTATTTTGTTAAAGTATGATGTAAAAGAGTTTTTATTTTGTGCTTATTTTTGACATGCTGACATGCTGAAAAGCATGCAGGACACTGGATTGCACTTTCAGTACTGATGCAGATGTCTGAGGTTTAGCATTGGCTAATATCGATCCGATATGATGTGAAAAACAGCCATAATATGACCTTAAATGACTCAAAATGTTTCCTTTTTATTTGATAACTCTGCACCAGTGTGATTAGTGAAATTGAATAAAATATATGATGATCATAAATAATGTAGCATTTTTACAAGGAGGTAGTTATATTTTCATAAAGCCTGTTATGATCTCTTTGTGTTTTTAATTGTGAACTGGACTAGTTTTGGTTGTTGATTTTTGTCACCTACAGCGTTCCATACAGTGTTCATTGCCTCGAGTTGAGATTATTAGCTCTTGTTGTGTTTTCTGAGTCCTGTTTCTGATTCCTATTTTGGTGTCACTGTTTAGATTTTGATTAGTTACATCCTTGCGTAGTTTCCTCCATCTTTATTTCAGAGTTTATGAGTCGCTCAGCTCTGTTCAGGTTCTCTCCCAGTTTCACCAGTTTGTCAAACCTTGTCCTTTATCCACTTTCCCACTCCAAAAGCCACTTACTTTGATTCCCTCCTTTCCATCCTGTTTTATTTTCAGCAGTCCTTCAGGCTGTTTGTCCTGTTCTTCTGGTATCATAATTGTTGCTGTTCTGGTCTTAAACTCTCCAGTTCTTCATGTGTCTGTTTCATGTCATTTCTAAGTCTCGTTATAAGTGGATTTTAATCCTCTTCAAGTAATTCCAATATTCCTGTCTGCATTTATTTCCTTCTCCATCACAAAATCTGACATTACTAGATGTTTTTGGTTAGATTTTCTCCATAAATAGATGAAATTCTTATTTGAAAATGTGATAAAGAGCAAAACAACAAAGAAGAACACATCCATCTTTGATTAACGAAGCAATTGGCTACAGAGGAATATCAGGAGTGTGGCGTACATTTCAAATGCAATTGTTCAGTGACATTTAAAAGAGTTAAAGAAGTTTTCACCATTGTGTCTCTTGAATAAACACACTATTTAAGTATTTGGGCAGCAAAGATACCTGGAGGACACAGCGTTCATAGTTTCCAAAGACAATATCCAATTTTCAACAATTAGACTTCAGGACGGTTTTCCATTTTGTCACTGTGGATCTTAACTGAGCTATAATCATGCAGAGACAGAATTCGTTCTGGGAAATTCTTTATGCTTTTCTCTTTTTCCATGGTGGGAACTCAATGTGCATTTGCAGATGACAAGCAATGTTTCCTGAAATGGAAATGTACCAATTATTTCCACTGCAGAACAGTGTTTGTTTGCAATGCAAGCAGCCTGAAGTACTTAAGACCAATTCACTACTGGGTCAGCGCATTGTTGCTACAAAGATTTATTTGTGTTCTTTCAATTATACCTTATTGACATTAAAAACAAGACTCATTGTCCTAAAACGCCACACAGACAAACATTATTTTCACTACTTTGGAGGTATTTCTGGGATTTTTAAAATTTTTTTCACAAATTAATCTGTTGCCAAACAACCTTTAAGTGATTCAAACCATTTTGTGGTTTTAGATCAGAACACAAAATTTTTAGACTATTAGTGGGTAGATATTAGAAAAATAAGATCTTTCTAAAATAAAAAAGGATTTTATATTTGCCTTTTTAGTTAAGGTAATCAGTGTTTATTTTAAACTATTACACAAGATTCCAGCTTTTTAATGACACGTTGCACTTATTTCAGCTCAGTGTTTACTTGTCCAAAACCCACCAGTTCCTGAAAAACAGAATTTACAAAACGAAGATGTTTTATTATTTATCCAGAGAGGTGATTTCATTGTTGTACACAGAGAGAGCTCCCTTTACCCCCTGCCTCCTCCCACTGTGCTGGAGTCTCCTCCACTGAACATCCTGTGTCGGATAATCAGGCCGTCACAGGGCGGTCTCAGTTATGGCTCTCAGTGTGTCGGCACCATACAGAAGAACTGGAAACATATGGGGAGCTGTAAACACGGCTCTCTGTTTAATCCATCCATCCTCAGAACATACAATATCTATGTAGTTATTATGCAACACCAAATGGAGGGTTTAAAAATACAGTTTTCTAGAAGATAATACACAACTGGCCAGGTTCAATCAGATGATTCAAATTAAATAGAGTAGAATTGAAAAATGTACAGCAGAGCTGCCAGCCGTGAGCGCATCATATTCTGCTCTGCGTTATCAGCTGAGAGCAGAAAGCGGATCGGAGCAGCAGGATGAAAGCAGACTTAGAGGCTTTATCAGGAGCAAAGAGCCAACAGTGGCTCAAGGAAAACTGAAAGGTTCAGGAGGCTGCATGGCCAAACTTTAAAACTAGCATCACGAAGAATGGTTGGAAAAATTCTGTGTGTAAATTTCTTTTGAGGCTGTTATGAGTGGTTTATAAAGACTGACGCCTGTATCAGAACAGGACTATTGAAACTAGATTATTATTGTGTGAATCCAGCATGATCCTCCAGAGTTGCCTTCTGTTTCTTGTCCCTGAAAGCTGAAATTTCTCCGACGTAGGACAGACAGGAGGCAGATTAGAGGTTAAGAACTTAGAGCTTATTTTCCCCAAATCTTTAAGAAATTATTGTCAAGTTGAATTCAGAATAAATCTCAGATGCATTGTAAGTTCTGTCATGAAATCCAGGTGAGAACAGGACACGGCCGGACCCAGGTTGTAGCGAGAAATGATGTTTTTAATGAGAATCACAAAAGAGAACAGAAATCCAGGCAGCACAGGTGAACAATGAGGCTAGCTGGACCTAAACTCGACAGACAGGCACAACTGGTGACACACGACAAGGATCTGACAGGGAGCAGCGAATACAGGTGGGATGAGAAACACAGGTGGATAATCAGAGGAAACAAGCGACAGCTGGGATCAATCAGGGGTAAAAGGCCACAACACAGGGACTAAATTAACAGAAACACACAAACATCCATATCCTCACAATTTCTCCTTTTTCCCCCTCAATATTCAAGACTGAAAAATAAAAATAAATATAACTAGGGAAAAAAAGCCTTTGCTAAAGCAGTAATGATTAAAAAGTTTAAATAGTTGCGTAGGAACAAAATTATAATGAGCAATTTCTCCTCTAACCGCTGAATTTCATTTACTCTTTTAGCTCTGTTTTAGACTCTGCATTGTAAATTATATAATTTTACAGGTTGTTCCATTAACATTTTAATGTGCCCACAATTTCTGCACATCTTAGTTTTTCAAGCAGTTTTCTTCCAGAGCTCAGGAGCTAATTGTCTCCTCTTGTTTTTATCTCTGGTTCTCCAAAGACTCAACAAACAGACAACAGATGACCTGAGAGAGTCGACACACTGTACTGTCGTTCAAACCTAAGCAGCAGCATTGTACTATCCTTTGACGCGTTTATTGCCTCGTAAACAAGAAAATGCTTTTAAAATGTATCTGTTTACAACCAGGAAGTCAGTCCAATGTTTTTAAGATGGTAGCAGGCTGATTTATAAAGTTATTAACTTTAATTGGATGTTGAAAACTTACATCTGAGTCCTTTATGTTTTTGCTCGTATAGTTTAGTTGAGTCCTAGTTTTTCACTGTCAGGTTTGACATCTATTAAATACAGATTAAACAAATGCAGGAAAGACAAGAGAGTTTGATTTTTTGTTAACTCGCGAGAAGAACAGACAGAGATGTGTTTTCAGCTACAAATCTTCTTCGGCTCTGGAAACACATTTGCCTGCGCCTCTCTTTTTATTGCTTTCAGGATCCCTATCACAAAGGAGGCTGCAACCCTAAAGGGAGGGGTAAACACTTCATCACATAGTTGCAGCACCAATGACAATCACTAGCTAAAAACACAAGCTATCTTGCACTAGATTATCTGGTTCCAGACACCGGGTTAAACAGAGCAAGTTGTACGTCTTCACGGCGCTGGTTTTATAGCTTTCTAACAGGTCAAGGAGGCAGAGCTTTCCGCTGAGAGATAACCCTGCAGGAAGCTGCTTTCACTGCTTTTCTTCAAGTGAGGCATTCTGAGAAAGGAATCAGAGTAATTCAACAACACAGAAACATTCTTAATGCTAAGATGAAACAAAACAAATAAAAGTATATAAGGCAAGAACATTATAAAGGTACATGACACAACAAATATTTGATGATAATATCTACAATTTACCTAACATTTCCCCCTGTTTGTCACATATTTGTTCTAATTCTCATATCCCTCCTAAACAGCCACTTCAAACGATTTTCAGCTGGGAGTTCATTTGTAAGAACGCAAATATGCTTACACTTTAGGATGGTACTCAGCCCAAAAATTAGGATCTGGATACAGGTCAGAAGAATCCTCATCAGAGTATTCTTTGTCAGCCTCAGGATCTTTGGCTAATAAAGGATACATGTGTGTCATCTGGTCCTTCATGGGAGAAATTGCTGTGGAAATGAGACGGTTTAACAAAGAGCGCAGGCAAGGAATACAACAGCATCCGCACAAGGTTACAATGGCAACAAAGACTGCCATTGATACTAACACAGAGGACACTAGGGTTCGGTATTTTCCAAAAACATTCATCCATTCATCCCACATGGAAGTATTCACTCCAGAGAGCTCTTTCATTTTGCCATTAAGGGTACGGAGCCCCACAATGGCCTTCGTCAGGCTCCCATCAGCTGCTATGTTGTTGGGCAAAAAGGTGCAGCACCTTCCTCTAAAGATAGCACACACTCCCACTAGTTCAGCCAGCAGCATGTCAGAAGCTATGCGGTTTTGGAAAGCCATCAGTGAGGTAGTGGCCAGCTGCTCATGAACCGCCTCAAACCCAGCCTGTGTCCGGTTGCCCAGTTTTTGTACGTTGAAATGGATGAAGTTGATTCTGTCCACGCTTTTGTTCACCGAACACCACCAACAAATTGTAGATTCAAAACCTGCTGCAGTTTGGTGGGTCAATTTATATTCATCAGGTACAACAGGAGGGACCCCAATGGCATCGATGTATGTAGCATCATTATGTTTCCATGTTAGCTCTCGTTTCTGTAAATGATGCCACTGCTGAGGCATAATGCTAGTCAAAGTGTGTGTTAGATGTTCTGCAGACATAGGATAGACGGAAACTGGTAATAATAAAGAAACTAATGCACATAACCCTGCTACATTTCGAGGTAATCTATCAAAAATTCTGTCGTCACCGCACCACCACCAGACATCTGCACGAGAAACAGGGTTAAAATCATTGTTTACAGAGAGAACAGTAGCACACATAGTACCTGAAAGACTTCCCAATCTTTTTCCACTTCCTGTTATGTTAACACATGAGAAGTTACCCGGAGCTACCTTCTTAGAAAAGAAAGGTTTCTCTTCATCAGCTGCTGCAAGGGGAAATACTGAATCATAAATCACACAGGCGCTATTGGGATTAGTTTTACTCATCACTTCTAATAAACATTGTTCTGAAATGATTGCTGGGGTCACATGAAGTAGAGGCCTTGATTCCATACATACGACACAATCTTGCTTAGCCATTTTTGCAGCCTGTTCTACCATTAATAACCAGTTATTAATTTGCCCTGACACACCTGTGTTAACTTTGAACCAGTCATCAATGGTTTCTACCTCTTTTACCTTCACCCCTACTGTCCACGGAGAAGTAGCGCTTCCCCCGCCTTCCTTAGACTCCTCACAGAGAACTGTTAGAAACTTTGGATCAGCCCCTGATGTAAAAGCCCACAAGTAGAATTCCCAGCATGTTGCGTCAGGCTTTTTCTTCCTTGCACTAGGAGGAAACAAGGGATGTGTGGCCGTGTTAATACCTATCCGTATTCCTTCGTCTGTACGTGAAATGCTAAGTATCTGTTTCTGATGTTGTGCGTATGTGGTGGTACCCCAGTCTCTTGTCCATTTATTCCCCTCGTCAGCCACTAAAGTTTCCCAGCCGGTGTTGAAAACATCATTTGTCATATACCAAGTGTAATCTCTGTAGTTTTCTGACACCATACTTTCCCAGGGGACTAAAACAGTGATAGTAGAACGAGGTGGAAAGCATACCTGAATGCCCATCCTTATTCCGTTAGCAGTGCTACAAGAATAACTTGTTTCATTTATGACATGAGTTGTTCCCAGATGAAAACACAAAGCGAAAACAAAAACCATATTTTTATTCGCCATTTCATTAATGTGCAAGTCCGTTCAGCTCCTAAAGACACTACAGGGTTGTGGACAATCTTCACCAGTTTTGAGATGGTAAAACTATTTGGTTTTACCCCCTTTGTACGCTGGACTTTGCCCTGCAGGTCGGTGAGCGTCCCGAGCTCGCTTTCCAGCTACTGTTGAGGTGAAATGACCTTTTTGCAGCGTGTTAAATGTACCCAAGTTGACCGTTCTGCTATTTTTGCAGCCGTGGGAGTGGTCAGCAACACCTGGTGCGGTCCTTCCCACTGAGGAGAGTGCCAGTGTTTCTTCCTTATGCTCCTTATTAGCACCCAATCTCCGGGCTCCACTAATCAGGTTTTCTGCTGGGACACAGAAGAGAGATCTTCAGTTTGTTTTTGGCTAACATGGCTCTCAGCTAAATTAGCTTCATCATCCATTTCCCATTGATTTTTAAGCTGTGGCAATCTATACGGCCTCCCAAATAGGGTTTCAAAGGGTGGAAGCCCTTGTAAAATACTTTTGCTACTGTTAAAGCATCTGGGTTTTTAGTGGGAAAAAGTTCAATCCATTTGGAGAAAGCATCAATTATTACTAAACAGTACTTTTTCCCTTCAATTCTATGAAGTTCATGTGTTTTACTTGAAATGGATATTGCGGGTCAGGAAATTTTCCTCTATGCGGTTTTAGGCTTGTGTTTAGCGCATATTAAACAGGCCCTACAAAACTGTTTTGAATAGGAAATAAATCCATAAGTGGTATAATATTGATGTATCTGTCCTACCATCCCTCCTGCTGAGACATGCGAGACGCCACGGCTCAATATTGCAGCCCGTTTAGAGATTTTTTGGTAGGATATGCTTATTAGCAGATCATTTATAGATATCATCTTCTATTTTTGCTCCATTTTTTATCCACAAATCCTTTTCATTTTGAGGACTTAATTGTTGCATGTCTCTTAGGGTCTTTTTCCATAAGTTTGATTTGTACCGTCGTCTGGGACAGGTAACAGTGTTGCAGGATTTAAAACCGTGCATCTTTCAATAGTCAGATGGGGTTGAGACAAGAGGGTGGACATACATGAGAGATGTCTAGCAGGTGACAAGAATGTCATACTTGTCTGCAATAATAGTGCTGAGACCACATGTGGTACTTTTAATCTTAATAGGTGGAACAGGACTATAGGAGGACTGACTTCTACTGCCATAGAAGCGGCAGAAGTGGTGAGGCGCACGCCACACTCTCAAGTCTGAGAGAGAAATATGCTAACGGTCTCATTTTATCACCATGCTGTTGAACCAGTACCAAGGTCATAAAATGACCTCTACAATCCACCATCTGATAGAGCTAGTGCAGTTCTTCTACAAAGTGCCTCTTCTGCTTCATCTGGTCTAAATTCCACTTTAGGGCTAATCTGCACTGGCAAGGCTCCGTTTACTAGACCCACAGCTGTGGGCCCTTTAGACCACAACCTGTCAGGAATGTCCTTTAGGAGAACTTCCTCCTCTTCTGTAAGCAACATTTGTCAGTGTCCAGAACAATGCTTTTCTAGAATGAATGCACTAATTTCTAAGTTTGTAGAAGTAGCCACCCAGTCAGTAGCTGCTTCTCCTTCTTCCGTGGCGGACTATCTCTCCCTGCTGAAGGACAACATGGGGGAGGGAGAGAAGGCGCTGTGGCTCCCTGCACCAGGCTCTCTCTCAATTGTTTAGACCACTCATACTTTCCTCCTTTTGATCTAGTGTCAGGTCCTTCACGATCTTTCTGCTCGTATTCCAGGGGGGAGGGCAACTCGGGGAATATTTTTACACTCTGTTCTTCTTGTTTTTCCCCTTCTGTGTTGTTGTGTCTATACTCACCCCCTCCTCCTGCTTGCTGCTGCGCTGCCTGTCTCATTATCCTCGTTTCTATAGAACATCAAATTCTTTTCTTTACTCTGTTCTACACTTTTGTTTTAGATTTCTTTCCCCATTTTCTCTTTTTAGTGCTAATTCTAACCAAAATTTTACATGGTCATACCCTTCTTCATGCATTTTCTTTTTATTTGACTTTGTTTTTTGTTTTATGTTATCCTGCAGCAAAGTTAGTTTTTGTGAATTTAGATGGCCGTGAAAGTTATACTTTGTCATCCATTTGTCTAAATGTTTTACTTTGCGTGCATCCTGATCTTCGACATATTTCCAGTCATTTGATTTTAAACTGTCTGTTGGCTTATTTTTACTTATCCCTTTCCCCATTTTTTATTTTATTTTTTTAATGAAATTTGGTCCAGTTTGTCGACGCCTAGGGAGTCCTAGAAACTGGAGATCTGTTCAGTAGGCCAGCAATTTAAACAACCTGTTGTGGTAACTCCCGCTTCAACTCTTTCGAGTGGAGAGTTCTTACCTGTGCATCCACAAGAGGTTTGCTGCTTACAGCCCTACAGTTTTATATGAGATAAAATACCAGATGGTATTTATACCTCCAATCATTCTCACAGTCACACTTTTTGCGTTTTTAGGCGCCTGTTTTCGCCGGACTTTTACCACGGGTATTAGTCGGACCCCGTTGCCCACAACAGGACAAGGTCTCAACACTTGCAGCACCAGGCTTTACACCTTTACACCCGCGAGGACTTCACGGGTTTTGTGCACTATTTTTTACCTGTTAGAGTCCAGAATTTACAGGGTTTTCTGAGCCTCAGTCACTCGCCACTTTTAAACAAGAGTCACTCACCTTTCCTGTCGCCTTTCCTTGGAGTGTCGTCAACCTTGAGTTCCCAGCAGGCAGGCCTAGCGACAGCCCTCGAACAGGTTCTGATAAGTTTCCACTAGCAAACTTGTCGTGCTCACGGTCTGTACTGGGGTCCAGCACACCTGCTGGAATCCTTCCTGTAAGGACCAAGTAAATGTCAAGTTTGACATCTATTAAATACAGATTAAACAAACGTAGGAAAGACAAGAGAGTTTGATTTTTTGTTAACTTACGAGAAGAACAGACAGAGATGTGTTTTCAGCTACAAAACTCCTTCTGCTCTGAAACCACATTTGCCTGCGCCTCTCTTTTTATTGCTTTCAGGATCCCTATCACAAAGGACGCTGCAACCCTAAAGGGAGGGGTAAACACTTCATCACATAGTTGCAGCGCCAATGACAATCACTAGCTAAAAACACAAGCTATCTTGCACTAGATTATCTGGTTCCAGACACCGGGTTAAACAGAGCAAGTTGTACGTCTTCACGGCGCTGGTTTTATAGCTTTCTAACAGGTCAAGGAGGCAGAGCTTTCCGCTGAGAGATAACCCTGCAGGAAGCTGCTTTCACTGCTTTTCCTCAAGTGAGGCCTTCTGAGAAAGGAATCAGAGTAATTCAACAACACAGAAACATTCTTAATGCTAAGATGAAACAAAACAAATAAAAGTATATAAGGCAAGAACATTATAAAGGTACATGACACAACAAATATTCAATAATGATATCTACAATTTATCTAACATTCACATTGTATTTTTGGGATCAAAAACAGTGACTTCTGTCTTAAGATGGTGGACAATCTGTCCCATCCTCTCATGAATATGTTGGACAAAACTATCATGTAAATGTTAAAAATAAAAAAAGTCGCCCAAGACTGGAACCTTGAGGAACGCCTGATGTTTTGCTTCGGTTCAGATTTATAAAATGATAAAGTGGCCCCGTTCTTCCAACGTAGAGTTACCAGTATCTTTCTTTGGGTAGAGAGAGCTGAGAGAAAACTGCTGCTGGGTGAAAAGTTCACTCAACGTTTTTCATATCTCTGCTATTATTTCCTCAAAGGCGTTACTTTCAGTGTAAGTGCTGCTCTCTCTGCTGGATCGCTCACTTCGTGTAAACCTTCATGACTTTGTTTGACACGTTTATCTTCTTTACCACAAAGATTTATGAGGGATGTTCTACATTTGCTCACGAATTGGGTCAGTATGATGTCTGTAAAAATACTGTTTAGTCCAAAAAAACAGGAGGAAATTATCCAAAATGTTGCAACTGTTCTTCAGTCGAAACAGCACGAATAATGAGAGCGGTGAATTGTTTTGTTTTATTTAAAATATTGTTTCTCATCTGACTGCAGCACTGGATAAGAGCTTCAGTCTGCAAAGGTTTCTCTCTCCTTCTATGAGTTACACACCTGAACAAACACGCAGTTTCGCAGGCCAAACACAGATAAACCCAGCTGATCAGCTCGCCAAGGGTGAAACTGCCTGGAAGCAGAGGCAGCAACACATGTAACAACAAATAAAACTTTAGTGGAGTTGGAAGGGATGTTGTTGTTGATCCTCTGCTGTTTCATGCCATCTGTGTGTGTTTCTCTCTGGCTGATCTGAGTGCAGGAGTCTGAGCAGGCCGCGGGGGAGGCTGAAGAGAGGAGCAGCAAACTCGCAGCTTTACGCTGAAGTCATTTCAACTCAGTGCCGTAGTTTCCACTTAATCCTTCATTTCAGAGTTATTTTGTCTACAGGTAAGAGCTGCCTGAGCAGGAACCCAGATGGTGAAACTCAAAGTGAAAGAATGTCAAAATAGATAAAAAATAAGACTGCTCATAATAAACCCTCCCAGATTGATACCACGAAGAGGAGCAGTGCCGTACAAAACAAGACATAAGTCATTTAATTCAGTCATCAGTGAAATTATAATGCTAAAATGAAAGCAATAACTGCATTTGAACCAGCAAGAAATAAATTAAAACACAAAAAAATAATTTGTTTTTTCATTCACTTAGAGGGACGGTTGTGTTGGGGGTGAAGATAAGATAAGATAAGATAAGATAAGATAAGATAAGATAAGAAATGGTTTATAGTAACAGGAAAAATAAACTAGATAAGAACAAGCAGGTAAAGTAGCAAAATTTTGAGATTCAATTAATCTCATTTTGTGGCTTCACATCCAAACTAAACGTTGCTGAAGCTGATTTGATGTCATGTGTCTGTCTTATGTACCTTCACATATTAACTGTGTAACGTTTGTGTTGAATTTGTTGCTGAATCTTGTTCTGAACGTCTTTGATAAAGAGGTTTTCAATCTCAGTGGGTTTTTATTCTGGCGAAATAAAGATAAAGAAAATCATGCAAGTGGAGCAAAAGTAATCAGCAGAGTGAAAGAAAAGCTATTGGCTGGAGGGGCTGGGTGGAGTTGATGCTGTCCAGTGTATTAACTTAGGAATTTCTGCATCTGATCTCCTTTTCCCACTTTGGTCCGGGGTTTTAGTCAAAGTATGTAAACAAGGATTCATTGCCTTTCTGGTTAACATCTAAAACCGGATATGTTGTGAGCGGAGTCATGAGAAAGAGGTGGGGAGACATATGACGCTCGTTGGAGGGAGACTCTCATCCAAATACTAGTCAGAATGAAGAATATTTGTGTTTGAAAAATGGGCTGCATGGTTGTTCAGCGGTTAGGACTTTTGCAAATGGAGAAAGGAGGTTAGCATTCCTTCCTGGACTGTTTCTGCAATTTTAACAAATTTGTTAACGCAACACAATTTATTAGTGTGATGTGAAGTCTCATTCTGACATTACTGAGGAAGTGAGTTGTTTATATATTAACAGATTACAAATAAAACAAACAGCGTCGCAAAGAGAGAATAAAACCTCTGGGGAAAGGAGTCAGCAGGCTGATTTTCATTCATTACCTTTAGCATCAGTGCTTTTATTCATCTATTTTTCCACTTGATTCACATTTGAATCCCCGTGTTGCCGAGCCAAAAGTTTAAACCTGGGCCTGCAGGCTGCTGTCTTTACTGAGCTGCTGCTTTCACTTAATTATTCATGTGCACAGAAAGATAAATATTAGAGTTTCAAACATCCCTGCTGGGGAAAGTGCTTACTATTGAGATTTTTTAAGGCTAGTTAATATCTTTATTTAAAATAGTGCAATGAATAGTTAATGAGTACAGCACAACTTGTTCATTTAAACTTCCACAACATGTAGGCTACACGTAATTCATTAAACATAATGTTTAAAATTTGAAATCTGATACTTAGTCACTGCACAGATGTCACTAAAAACACAAAGAGCATCTGAGTGCAACCTCCAGATATTTCTGCAGTTTCTTCCTCTTCCCTCGATCACCTTCTTCTTCTGGTCAGACGGGTTTTCATCCGTAGCAGAAAAAGACAAAGCGACGATCTGCCTTGCCAAGAGCAGGTTGTGCAGGTGAGCTGTATGAATCCCTGAAGTTTGAAAAAACAGGAGATGTTATTTAACGAAGCATAGAATAGAAAGAGGTGTGGTCAAGACCTCTAAGAAGTTATTGTTTGTTTCTGAGTTTAATTTTGCTTGCAGGGAAAACGAACATCCAGAAATATGTAAGTTTTAAGCCGGAGGTTTAGAATTTCTTGTTGGTATCCGTAAGAAATATTTCGTTATTCAGGTTTTCTCAAATAAATTTGCTCCCTTCAGACGTTGATGAGTGTTGATGGCTTAACAGGAACCCAGTTCACTTTGGTTTATTGCATCAACGCACAACAAATGAGCTTTAAAGTAACTTTACAAGACAGGCAGGTTTACGTCGTTAAATTGTGGATTAAGAGAAATACTGGGGTGTTTTACAATATTACAAAATACAGATATATCGAGCAAAGTGAGTAAAACAAGAACACAAAATTTAAAATACACTTAACTAAAAATTAATCAGTGACATTAAATCTTGAGTTATTTTTTATACAGTCCTACACTGCACAATCATCAGTTTATTTATTAGTAAAACATGATTATATGTTAAAATAACTTAAACTAAAGTCATGTTTCAGTTGTGTTTTCAAACATAATTGTTTGAACAGCTGAACAGTTCAGTAAAAATAAAAAAAGAATGAGAAAAATTATATCACAACTTGGCTTCTAACCGTCACGACATAAAAATGAAGATGTAAAATAAGTGTGAAATAAATAATCTCTGGCAATAATTCAAATAAAAAAATGGCTATTCAAAAGTATCCTTAAAAATAAATACAATTAAATATGTTAAGAACAAAAGCAAAACTAAAAGTGCTGCAGGTTCTTTTGGAATCAACAGAAAAAGAAAAAAATATTTCACCGAAAAACTGAAAACAAACACACACACACAAAAAAAGCTGATATGTTTGAAAACTGAAATAAAAGTAGAAGTTCTTGGGCGTGAAGCATTTTACAACAATTTAACACTTTTTCCAGAACTGACCTGCCAATTGTCACCTAAAACCAGGAAAACTGGACAATTTCAAACACCAGGGGACTGATCGGAGCATCTAAAGTAAACTAACACAAAGTAAATTACGCAGTAAGAAGTGAAATAAGTAGAAATAACATCCTATGATCTAGAAATCTTTTCCTTTCTCTCTTTGCTCACCCAGCTGCATCCTGTTGTGATTTGTAGACCTTCCTGCTTTGACTCTTTTGTCCTCTGCAGCCAGGTCCTGATTACAGATCAGTTGGATTTATGACAGCTGCAGCAGCACCCCCACGGATTATCCTCACAGTCCGTTCTGCTTCATGACGCCGCTCGCTCAGAGGTGTGTGTGGAGAGGAGGAACTCGTGTCTGAGGCCTGAAGCTGGTCGAAGTCACTGGAACATCGAGTCTGTGGTTGGATTCCTGTCTGATCTGGTTGTTTTAGTGATACACTGAGCCAAAGGCTCCCACTTTGGGGCCCTTGAAAAAAAAAGCCACCACAGGGTGATACACTGACAAAACATATTTTATGAATAACCAGGGTTCATTTTCCATGTCAGGTGCAGAAGTTAGAAAAATACAATTTTATTGCTTTTTTACCACAAGGATTTTCTCCCCTGTATTATCATTGGTTATAAATCAACAAAGTGAGGCCCATGCTGTTTGCATAAGGCCAAATGGTTTGGTTTAGAGATCTACTGGTAGAGACAGGAATTTCCCCTGCTCTGACCAAAAGGTCAAAACTTTTATATTTTTTCCAACTTGTTAAAAATATATATCCACATTAATCAACATTATGTACTTTAATGCTTAAATCAAATAGAGAATCCTCTACTTTTACCTTTCTGAAGCAACTGCGCTATCATATTAACGTAATATAAGTCCACAATTTGGTTTTTCACAAAATGATTTCATTCATTTAGAGAAACATCTAATTCAATCCCTCCTATCTTTGTGAAATCATAAATAAATTGTAAAGAGACACTGTTTCCCTAATCACACCAAAGCCTGATTGATTACTGTCAGACTGAAGATCAAAATTACTAACAAATCACTAATCTAGGACCTGTCTGACAACATGAAGTAGGCTAAAAAAAGAGAGAAACAAATCGTTGAAGTCATTGACATCTATCAGTCTGAAAAGGAACACCAAGCCAATTGTAAGGTTTTAGAAAACAAAAATAGCATTGAATCTCTGCAGGAGAACCAAATTGCTCCACAAATACATTAATGATTAATCCAGGAGACACAAAAAAAATCTGGAAAAGCATTCAAAGTGCCTCATTTCTTATTCACCTTTGATAAAATCAGTGTTCATGATTCAACTATAAGAAAAGAACGGCCTAAACATTTAGCTGATGAGGGCCTGATTATTTTTTCCCAGGTTGGTTTGGGAAACCTTTTCCTTCAATAAAAGATGGAAATTATACTTTGAAAACTGAATTTTGAATGTGCTTACACTTTCTTTACATGATATTAAAAATATAAAAAAGAACCAGATAGAGGAATAGTCTCTTTACATGTTATGCTCCTTTGGAAGAAGAAAATCAAATCAATTGAAATTTAAACTTGAAAGCCATAAAACGTCTAATCTTTACATCTCTATTTGGGTTATGTTCACTGCTGTAAGTATATATTTTTATTCAAACCCTGCAGCAAAAAGACATTAATCTACAGATGACATCATTTGTTGCACAGTTAATCACATTATAGGGTTGTTTTTTTCTTTCTCTCTCTCTGTTACTTTCTTTTGCCTTCAGTTTAGTGATTTTGTTAACCCATAACATGTCTGGATTTCTGCCTGAGGCGTTCAGCATCAGCATGGATTTACATGAAGCAATACTGCTGCACTTTAAAGAAACGTTCTCTTTGTTTTCTTCCGTAGGATCCAGCCTTGAGAATGTGAAATCAGCTCGGACCATTATGTAAAGTCTGTTAGTCAGCGAAGGTGAAAGGAAATATCATGGCGTGGGCAACATGACAGAGGAAATAATTAAAGCATGAACCGTCTGTCATCAGAGCTCTGATGTTTCTTTTGCTGTATTTAGATCTCACAGCAAAAAAAAAAT